CCAACATTTATAAGTTCACCAAACATCGACCATGACACTTATCCAATTTAATTGAAATACTCCAATTCAATCCGAACCACCAAATGCGATATAAGTATTTCTTGTTTATATATACTTGTGGACACAATAGCATCTCATTTACCAAAAAAATGAGAATCAGAATAAATTGTCGCGCTTTATTAAAATGGCATGTAAATATTACTTGAACGTTGTTAATTTTCAGGTGACCTAGGGCAGACTGAATGGACAAACTCCACCCTAGAACACATAGGAAGCATAGACTACGATGTACTTCTTCTGCCTGGTGATTTGTCATATGCCGACACCCATCAACCCCTCTGGGACTCATTTGGCCGAATTGTTGAGCCCTACGCAAGCAAACGCCCATGGATGGTCACCGAAGGCAACCATGAGATCGAGAGCTTCCCCATCATCTACCCAACTGGCTTCAAAGCCTACAATGCCAGGTGGCGGATGCCCCATCAAGAGAGTGGGTCCACCTCAAACTTGTACTACTCTTTCGAGGTTGCTGGGACCCACGTTATCATGCTGGGGTCCTATGTGGAGTTCGATGCTGAGTCAGATCAGTACAGGTGGCTTCAGGCTGACTTGGCAAAGATTGATAGGAAGAAAACCCCATGGCTTGTTGTCCTTTTGCATGCACCTTGGTATAATACGAATACTGCTCATCAAGGTGAAGGAGAGAGCATGAGGCAGGCCATGGAGGAGTTGTTGTACAACGCAAGGGTCGATGTGGTTTTTGCAGGACATGTTCATGCATATGAACGATTTGTAAGTTGGATTTTGATTCCTTATTATTTGCAAATTAATTAACGTTAGTTAATTGTTTAATGCTGTTCTTTTAGTTGATGACTGATGTTATATGCAGACCAGGATTTACAACAATGAGGCTGACCCGTGCGGTCCGGTGTATATGACAATTGGTGACGGTGGAAACCGAGAAGGATTGGCATTAACGTAAGTACATTTTATTTTAGATTATGATGTAATGTTGTTAGACTGTTAATGATGATTGTGGATGGTAGTGTAACATCACATGCTTGCTAGTTAAGGGCCGTCTTTGAGACTTCCAATGAGTGTGTGCAAAAGTAAAAGATGGAGCCCTCCTTAACTTATCCTTACATGAAAATACTAACAAATTTGGAATACTTTTTCTGGATGGGCAACATCTGCATAGTTCAGATTTGCTCAAAAATTGTTTGGGTTATAAAATAACCAAACTATCCCAGAATACAACATGACCTTCGGAGCATTGATGTGATTTTCATGTGAAGTAGTTGTATGAATTTGATCTAATTAGTTAAACTTTTGTTCAAAACAACCAAGCTTTTAACTATTTTTTAAGTTTGATTTACCTTAATTTGATCATCTAATGGTGTAAATATGTACATGTAGGTTCGAAGAGCCTGCTTCCCCTCTGTCCTTGTACAGAGAGCCAAGCTTCGGCCATGGAAGGCTGAGAATATTAAATGAAACACACGCATTTTGGGGATGGCATCGAAACAACGACTCAAACTCTGTTGTGAAAGACCAGTTTTGGTTAGAGAGTTTGAGCAGCTCTAAAACATGCTTGAAATCTGTTGACCAGAAGGAGAAGACGGCATCATCATCTGTCAATGATGAACTATAGGAGATTATATATAATTTCACACGAAATAAACCGTCTTCTTCTCATAAATTGTTTTTGTCTAGCTAATGGCGGATACAGGATTTTTACCCATAGGGGTCATAATGTAAAAGTTCTCAAAAAAATTTGGGATAGAAATAACACTGTTATATAATATTGACATTAATTGCTAAGAAAGTAGACAATCCAAATATTGGTAAAGGATCTTCTAGTGTAGTGGTTTGAAGCAATTGCTCCCCCATGAAAGGTCTTGGGTTCGAGTCCTCGTATCTGTGTAGTGTGTATAAATTTAGTATACTGTATCGCCCCTCCTCTTAATAGGAAAGGTCCTAAAAAACAACAAATATTAACCTTTTGATCAAGGTAAAAGGAAAAAAATAATTGAGAAAGAGGGAACATAAATGATTTAATTGCACTTAACATACATTATTTGAAATTTTATTCATAAAAATAAATCACCATTTTCTGTCAAATAAAACGAACAAAAAAGGAAAGATTATTTTTCGGTCTACATGAAAAAGAATGATTAGAAAAGAGAAAGCAAAGCAATAAAATGAAAGAAAAAAAAACTCGAAAAGTAAAAGGGTTAGAAAAGGACTTGGTCTTGCAAGGAGTTGACAAGTTCCTTCCCATGAATTAAAAGAGGAGGCAAATAAAGAGAGGAATTGGAGGGTTTTTTTTTGGGCGAAAGGAATTGAGGGTAAGGGTTTGGTGGATTCATAGTCGGGTAAAGAGGGGAGATGATGTTGTGTTGTTCCTTTATTTATTTATTTATTTGTTCTAAAGCCTAGCTCAAAATGAAGTAGTTTTGAGGCCAGGTCATTAAAAAAAAATTGAATATGCATGGACAAAAACAACGTTGTTTTGGCCAAGCATTTAAAAAAAAATTAGCACATTGCGCACACAGCAACTGGGTGCTGCTCAAGGCTTTGGCCTTTGGGAACTTCTGTCGAGTAGGTTCTATGCACACTTGGGGATGCATAGCCATTTTTCCATCCAGGGACCCTTCTTGTCCCTTAGTGCGTCCGCCCCTGTCTAACAAAGATTGAAAGATTAGGAGGTTTGGGAGCACAATAAGAGAAAGTTCCCTTTGTAAGTGCGAGGTGTGGAGGAGTTTAGCATGTTTGTCTTGGATTGTGATTCTTGTATAAAACAAATTAATGCAAACACATCATGTTTGTGTTTTTCGTTTTGGCTAGTGAAAGATGCCTTCTTTTTTTCAATAAAATGGACTGGTGTTATTGTAGGCTTCAAAGGACAAAATGTGTAAGATTCTTTGCAATTCAACGAAGGCAGGCTAGTTGGGTTGAGTGGTTGGCTTAATTTAACTGTGTTTGTTTTTTGCAAAATAAAGTCAGATATGGATTTGACATCTCCCAACCAAATCCCACAATACCTCATCTCTTGATTGACACAACAACAAATATATTCTTCGCAATTCCTAAGGTAGAACCCGATTTTTCAAAACGGAAAATATTTGGCTCCTTACGTAATGTAAGAACTCATTGCTCCTTGCTGATTAACAGTATGTAAAAATGTACTATTCTCTATTTCCTAAGAGCACCTCTGCCCCAAAGGGCAAGGGCATGGGCAAGGGTAAGGCAAAGGCAAGGCAATGCAAGGTTTGTCACTATTCATGTGAATAGTGGCAGCCTTAAACCATTAATTTTGATAAGATTTTTGGTTGCTACGTGTCAATATTTATTATAAAATTCTCACCTAAAAATTCAGATAACATTTTTAGGTAAAATTTTCGAATTAAATTTTCGGTTGCCACGTGTCTATATTTATTATAAAATTCACATCTCACTCATCATACAATTGAAATACTCCCGGTCCTCATAGTCTGACACAATCGAGTACAAGGATGACTCAATCATTGACGGAGGTGGTTCCACCGGATCACAACGTGGGGGAGTATTTTCCTTCAGATTACGTAATAGTGTCATTATTTCCAACACGGAATGCACCACTGGAACCAACTGCAGGCATTGTTCACTTGAGGAGCCATGTGTAATGGTTTTCCTCTTTTTTGTTTTGCCTTAAATAATCTATTAAAAAAATGAAATTGGAAATGCAAGAAATACACACACACACACACACACATATATATATATAATGACATTAAATTGAATAAAACAGCAATCATTTTTTTTTTACCTCATTGCCAAGATTTTGACCTCTTCAAACGTTTGTCCCCGACGCTCCGGCTTCAATGGAAGATGTCATTTGTACTTTTGCACAAATGGAATTTTATAGTAGAAAATTTGGTGTGGAAAGTGGAAAATATTGGAAGGAGATGAATTTGTATGAAGATTTGGTGTGGAAAGTGAATAATATTTGTAGGTATTTATAAACAAAATTTCCAGAATTTTTTGATATTTTTTTCAATTTTTTTAGCCAAAAATTAGACAGCCGTTGGATTGAGCAAGATTTTTTGATCGTAGGCTCCAGAAGAAGCCACATAACTTGTAGCCATTGGGTTATGTAGGCTGGTGGGTCAGCGCTAACGTCAGTAGCCTTGGGGCAACAGCCCAGTCAATTTTTGCCTGTGGACTTGTCTGGGCTGAGTTTGGCACACTAGAGGTGGAACTCGGACCTGGGGGGGCATGTTGCCAAGGCAAGGCCCTAGCGCTGCACTTGCTCTAACGTGTAAGGAGCCAAACAATGTCGTCCAAACCGTAGTGTGAATTGCCCATTTTCAAATATCAAATTTAAATTGGCTGAAGATTTCTAAAATCACACACCATGAAACTTAAACATAAGAAGGGCTGCCTTGCATTTTGGGCTAAACCACCGCACATAAAGCTTTCATTTTAAACCAGGCCGACATCAAAACAAAGCGAGTTGCACAGGGACAGCTTGTGGCAACAAAACCAAACAATACGACGTCATTTGTCGTTGTGAGTGACAGGTTTGGTTTGTCGCAAATTGTATCACTTTTACACACACAAACACAACACAAAAAAACATCCAAAGAAAAGAAACTCAAAAGCAGAGAGAGAGAGAGAGAGAGAGAGAGAGAGAGATGCAACATAAAGATACAGAGGTTAAAAGTAAAAGAGAGAGACGAATCTACAAAGGAATTGGACCCGAAATTTCACTCCCAAACTAGAAATTTTTTCGTTTTCGGCAACTATTACAAAGCAAAGCCCACAATAACTTATTTCCCAGAAACTAAATATCAAATTAAAAGCCAGTGAAGAGAGAAATATTTATATCAACTTAATTCCCACACGTGCGTGATGAACGGCCGCGATCAGACAACGGTTCTTCGACTGATTTAAATTAAATCCATCCGTTCATCTTTTTGATTTAAATTTGTCCGAGTAATCGGATCCAACGGTCCTGATCATATCTTCTCGAGCTTCTCGGCTATGACCAAGGGGTTGCTTCTGGCGATCTCCTCTCTCCCAAGCGTCTTGAAATCGAACGAACACGCGTGCTTCTCCGGGTACCTGTGGACCCCACAGAATGTGGTCCCGCACCTGCATTTGAACCCGGTCAGCCCGACTCGTTTCCTGCAAACGGAGCACCGGTTCGGCTGCGAGACCACCGCAACCACCTCAGGAGGCCGGACATCTCCGGCGCTGTGTCCGACTACGTCTCCGGCCACCTCCGGCAAGGTCAACGCCGGAGGAGGAGGCTGACAGAGGGTCTCGATCACCGGAGAAAAGGAAGAGGAAGTCGATGAAGAAGAAGGAGCAGAGACAGAGGAGGAAGAAGAGGCGGAGAGAGAGGCTTCGACTGTGGATTTGATCGAGGCCTCTTGTTGCTCCTTGAGGCAAAAGTCCCGGTAGCATTTAGAGCAGAGGTTCATGGTGGCTGGGCTGCCGAAGAAGCCGCAGTTGTTCGCGCAGAGACGGAGACCTTCGGGCGCTTGGCATCGGTGCTCTTCTGCCATGGCTAAAGGATTGATCTGATTTAACCTCCGCTTCGAGATCTCGTAATCGGAAATTGAATCTCGCTTTTCGATTTCGCCGATCGGATTCGATCAGATTGGATCGTCCTCTGCTTCTCCGAGAGAGATCGATCTACGAAGAAAATGATCTGAGATCGAGAAGGCAGAATAATTATAACAAAATTCACAAAATCTCAAACTATTTTCCTTTTTAAAAAAAGCCCTCAGCTCGCTGTTTGGATGCCGAGAAACAAAAGGAAGGAAACAGAAAAGAAAAAAAATCCAAATTCCGGTTTCGAGACTCAGAGAAACAGATAGTCGTGTGGCTAATAATAATAACCATCACCGTCCAGAAGATCCGCGTAATTTCTCGGAACAAAAGCAACCGAAAGTTACGGATTCTGGATTCTCTCATCTGTTTTTCTTTTGTCCTTAATTTTCTCAGCGGCCAAACGGAAACTAAAAATAAATAAATAAATAAAGTAAAAAATAAAAAGAAAAAAATAAAAGAAAAAAAGGGGAAGATAGAGAGAGAGATTTATGTACCTGTTTTGCGAAGGGGTTTGAGAGATTTGTGAAGCGAACGCGAAGAGGAGAACGGGGATAATAAGAATATGAAGGAGAGAGAGAATGGGGAAGCGAGAATCTTAAGACGGAAGAATTATCGAGAAGGTCATAGGAATAATTTAAAAAAATAAATTAAAGTGGGAAGGAACGGCGAAAAGGAACAAAATTAGAATAATCCACCATTGAATATTATATGATTGCGAAATTAAAATTAGTGTATGAAAATTGGAATTATCCGAGAGACAGCCTGGAAAATCTCTTTTTGTAAAGAAAAAAGGGGGAAATGATTGTGAGTGGTAAAAAAAGGTTGCGGAAAATCATGCATTTGGCACCGTTATTGATAGCGCGTGGCTTTTCGCTTTTTATTTTTTATTTATTTATTTTCAGGTGGCAATTCTGAGGTGGTCCTGTTGGTGTTGTGTTGGGTTGGAGGGATTGGTGGTGGTTCGGTTGGGTCGATATTTAAAGGTGACTATTATTGTTGGGTTGGAGGATTTTGCTTTGATACTTCCTCCCTGGCGCAGCTGATATTTTTTGGTCTAAAAGCTGAAAGGGAAAATACATTGAATTCGGCTATGTATCTTTCTTAAGGCGTAAGGAAAACGAAATATTGTCTGCGTCTGTCCCAGATTATTTTGAGCACTAGGGTTTCAGTTTTGAGATGAGGTTATTCAGTGGGTTCGAAGTAAGTTTCAAATCTTGTGAATGATGTCAAAGCTGAAATCCTTTCGAGTCCCTTTTACATGAGTCGAGAGACTCGATTTCACAACTAAAATATCTCTTTGACTATATGAAAGATTTTCGATTTGACGCTTGAATTAAGACTTGCAACTACATTAAAGAATTGGAAATAGTATTAAGAAAGTGGTTGAGTTCTATATATATCATGTGTTATCTACGTGGAAACTCGTATAGATTCGGGTCTTACAATTCTTACAAATTTATACAATTTGATATAATTTATGTAAAGGAAATTAGATTGATGTGTGATTTCTGAGATGTTTGACTTTGATTGCTATATAATGTAACGGTTTGAAGATAACATAGAGAATTGTGATGGTTCTAGTTGTTGTATGTTGAAATTTTGATTGGCTAGTTGGGTTTAAATTTTATATGATAAAATATGTTGCTGCTGAATGAATGAATGCCATAAGACAATTTTTTAATTAGAATTCATCATCAATTAACATGCACAGATAATCATAAAAGTTAAGACATTTCCGACTTAAATTGATTGTTTGTACAAAGATGATCATCATAAGGTATTAAAAAAAAAAATTAGCAGTTTGTAAGGGGTTTATAGTTTAAGTGATTAAAAATATTTACCCACACCCTTGAGATCCTAAATTCTATTCCTCCTCCGTCAATATCGCTTGTAAAAAAAAAAGAAAAAAAAAGATGTTCGAACATCAAATCACATTATAAGATGAGAACATAATGAAAAAGGCCAGAAAGAAGGGAAAAAGTGGTTATGAGAACAATTTAGAGCACCATACATGTAATGCCTCTTGGCATCACTTCATGAATATGAATTTAAAGGCTGCTGCTGGCCCAATGCCTTGGCCATTATCAAATGGATCATAACTGAGAGGACTAAAATGCCTGTGAAAATTGGGAATAAAATGTCGAGAGGGTTGAACTCTGCCTCACTCACGTTCACATGACATGATGTTAACATGCCGTGCAAACATAGCAATCAAACCTACACCATCCATCAAACTCTCCTTTCGTCTATTACTTTTTCTTCTTATTTTTCAATATATATATATATATATATTTTAAACAATATTAATTTCGAGATGGAACTTTAACAATTATAGAATTTGGTTGCATTCTTAAGCAAAACCGCGTTTAAGGATGCAATGACTTTGTCCACTTTGATCACCAATGGTATCGTTCGTGATCATTACCCATATAAAGTCTAAAACATGGGATAATTAGATCAAATATTCAACACATTTTTATTTTTGCTGCAAATAAAATTGATGAAAATTTGGTACCAAAGGGTCTTATTTTTTAGTTAAAATTTAGCTAAAAACACTAGAAAGCTATTATAGGAGCTCCTTATAAAATTTCAACTCCAACCATTCTCTCTAGTTTAGGGAATCATAAATGGTTTATTTATTTTATTTTTTAGTTTAGCATAAATGCTCCTTCTTCATATAAAATAATAACAAAAATAGTTAGCATTAAATAAATACTTAAAATAGCATTAAAGTAAAACAACATTTAAGCCACTAAGAGTCCTTTCTCTCTTCTCAGATTTAGGAGCTCCTAGAGGTCTCCCTATTTTAAGAGTTGGATAGGGAGCATGGTTGGTGGAGGTGGGATCGGGTAAAAGAGAGAGAAAGAGTCTTTTATTTTTTGAATATTTTATATTGTTAATTAATTAATTAATTAATTAATAATATATTATTATTTATTTGGTGGGTGGACAAATAATTGGTATTTTAGAAATAATGATGGGTGGAAAGATAGGATTGTGTTTTTTTTAAATTTATATGGTGGGTGGGAAGTAAGCCTGTAAATAAAGCCCAGGCCCATCTTATGAACCATCTTATGAAAGGTCTTGCTTTGGCTTTTGGGGTTTTATAAGAGTGGTGTCTATCCACATCACGGCAAACAACCACTTCAGTTGTTTTGTGCTTTATAAATATCTTCACCCACCCCATCAAAGCTTCATAGAGACTTTAAGGTAGAGGTGTCAAATGAGACGGGTCGGCCCAGCATGGCACGAGCCTAGTCCGTTTAAATGAGGCACAGCACGGCATGAGCACGAATATTAATGGGCTGTGTTCGGCATGGTACGAAAACTTGGACCAGACTGTGATAAAAAATATGATCCAATGGACCGGGCAGGCCCAAGGCCTGAGCCCGCTTTAAGCACGGCCCAAGCCCAAGCCCGACCCACATAAATTTTCCTCAACAGTCAAGATGCAAAAATTTGACATAAAATGTCATTGTTTATATGGTTTATTTTTTATTTTTTTTATAATCATAAAGAGATATTTGATGTTTTTCATTTTAGGAAAATTACTTGGATCCTTAATTAATTAAACATATCAACTAAAAATTAATTAAACAACATTGGACTTGATATCTAATAAGTACATATGACATATACGCTTCTCTCATAATCAAAGCAATAAATTTCTTCACATATAAAATAATAAGTTGTTTAAAGAAGAAAAGTTGAAGTGAACTTTGTTTTTTGTCCTCCGTCCTTTCATATTGTTTGGATGTTAGATTGATTAATGTTTTCAAATAGTTCATCATTTCTTGTCTCTAATTATATTTTTAATGTTTATAATTTGAATTATTTAGTGGAAAAAAAATCAAGTGAAAAAAATTCAAATGAAATGGGTTGTTTCTTGGGCCAGAGTATGGCACGAGCACGAGCATGAGCACGAGCACACCAGCGAGCCCGGCCCGTCCCGTTTCAATGTGGACATGGGCTTTGGGCCGGGCCGGGATTAATGATTTTATTAAATGGGCCGACACGGCATGGCTCGATAAATTAAATAGACCGGCTCGGTATGACACGAAAATGTTAAAAACACGAGTTTAAATGGGACGAACAGGGCCAGCACGGCCCGTTTGACACCTCTACTTTAAGGCTAGCTTACTTATGCATGTGGGCCTATAATGTCATGTGTAGTTGGGCTTCTTTAGTTGAGATTTTCGCCAATTTGACGTGAGATTTTTTTATAAATGCCTTAATTGGTATTTAAACTCTTTAAATATTATAATTTTTCAAAAAATGGCATGGGCCGTATAGGCCCGAACCAAAAGCTCAAAATTGTTGAGCCTATTGGTAGGGCTTGGGCTTAGCATATTTTATATAGGACTAGCCTGGCCAGGCCTGCTCTATTCTTAGGGCCAAAAAAGCCCGTTATAAAGTTGGGCTTGGGCTCACTCATCTTAGGGTTGGGCTGGCCCGGACTGACTCATTTTACAAGCCTAGTAGGAAGATAAGGTAGATAGGGAAATATGATAGGAATGTGGAAATAGCAGCACTCTTTATATAAAAAAATTTCTTAATTGTCCAGTTTTGTGTTGATTTGGAACTTATTGATTGAAGAGCTAGATAATTGATCCACTTGAGATGGGTACTTAAGACAGTTTCAATCGATTTAGGGCCAGTTTGGCATTGCTATGTTGTGAAAATAATCGCTATCAGATTTGCTGTGAGAGAAAGCAGTTTGGCGTTTAGTAAACTTTTTGTTAAAAGTGTTGTTGGTACTAATTCCCGCATAATCATTAAACCTAATGCTTATTCGAAATTGATTCTCACATAATCAGAAAATGAAAGCATCTCATTAGTTGATTTCCCTTATAGCTTTCTCTCACAGTAATTTTTAACAATAAGTGATTTTCTCATAGTTTACCAAACGGGCTGAGCTTCCCAAAATTTAAAAATATCACTTATCACCCCAAATAAGTAATGTCAAATGAGCACTTAATTGCCAAAGAAGACCCACTAATTAATCTATTTAGGTAAGGACTTGCTACAAAAGAAAGGTAGTTGACTTGCTAATTAATGTCAAGTGATGAGGGTATTCAATATTCATTTTGAAGGCACAAGCATACTGACCTGATTAAAGAAGACTAATTTTATTTTATTTTTGTATTAACGGGCAATGAGAGGTTCAAACTTTAAATCTTTTCAAATATTGAGAAGACGATTTAAGTAAGAAAGACCGAATCAAACTGCTTTTTTATACATAAAAATATTATTTTAAAAATGTTTAATGATTGACATTATATATGTCAATCAAACTAGTAGATAGTTTTCACATATCATATGGTTTCCTAGTGAATTTTCAAAATGTAAAATTGATTTTGCTCACTAATTTGTAATGGTTGTGTGTTTATTGTTTTGTATCTTGGCGTAAGCATCCTTTTTGGGCAATTATTACGACTATAAAAAAAAAGGTCAAACATATCTTTTATAATCAACTATAAAATTTTGTTTGCGAGTTATAATATGAATGAGACGAGTTTATATCACACATAATATTAATATATATATATTTGTTATAATATGAATAAATTGCTAAGGGTTACTTGTTACTAAAAACGTACATATATTTTGGGAATGATAGAGTTACCGTTATTACAAAAAGGAAATGTTAGATTAGTTTCTTTTTATTTTTTGTTCCAAAAAAAGAAGAAGGTAGATTGGTTGAAAAAAATATCACGTGATATTTTCTACTATAAAAAAAAATCACGTGATATAGGCCCTACTTGCCAAGAAAAAGTATACTTCCCCGCCATTTGGAATTCCAAGAATGGTAGGTAGAGCGCTGACACCAAACCGTAGCATCAGCAGATATATGAAATCTCCAAAAGCGACCTCTCCATCTTCTTCACTATAAAGATTAAAGACAATGGATCCAAATTCTTACGTACGCAAATAATTTAAAGATAGTTCTCAGCTCAGCTATGAACTTGTTGCAATCAACCACCAACTGGTGGAGAATCCATGGAACCTTGCGAACTCTGTACCTACTGTTTTTGGGTCAGGTCGTCTCCTTTGTTCTCGCACTCATGAGCCTCACTTCCTCTCTCATAGCCACTCTCGGTAACTTCAAAAACCCACCAACCCATTTCAAATTTCTTGGTTTTTTTTCCTCTTATTAATTTCTTATTTACTTCATTCATTGTTTTTCTCTGTTGGGTTTTCGAATCTTTTGATAGAAAATGGTTTCATGGCTGGTGGGTTTGTTCAGGTGTGGATACGCCTATTACACAGACTATGTCTACTTACTTGGGTTTGGCTTTGATTTATGGGAGCATCTTGGTGTATAGGCGTGAGAAGCTACGGGTATGTCTCACTTTTCAAGCATTAAATCCTTTATTATGAACCAGTTTCAAGAAATTAATCAGAGTTTTGTAGTTTAAGTTACTTTGATTTGCCATTAGTGTTCCATTTGGTGAAATGAGCAATGAAAAAGTTGAAAACTTGGGATTTGCAGGTTTCTTGGTATTGGTATCTACTCTTGGGGTTTGTTGATGTTCAGGGGAACTATCTTGGTGAGTGCTAAAGGTTGAGCTTTCTTTCACATGGTCAGTGTCAGTCCTGGATATGCAATTTATTAGTCGATTGTGCTGCTTGTTAAGTTTGTTGTTATAGATCGTATATCCATTCGACATCGATTTGCTAGCAGTTGGGATCGAATGATTCTGTGTCTTCGTTATGGCATTGGGTTGTGCATTGTTTTTGGTTGGGATGATTGTACATTAAGGGCTCGGATTTTGCCAGAACTGTTTCAGGTGCAAGGGAGAGCCTATATCTTTACATATTAAATGATTTGGTAGACATTGTAGAAATTCATCAATAGGAATCAATAAAAAACAAAAGGAATTAAAACTGTGAATAACATTTGTATGGCATTGATGAAAGAAATCACAATGCATATCAATTTTTGAAATAAAAACATGCAAGTTTGACAATGGCGCTCTTCTAAGACAATAAAGAATAGACAAGGTGAAGTTTAGGGGACACTGGTAGGATGTTTTTCAAAGATATTTAGACGGGTTAAGTCAGTAAGCAGCTTCAAGCCAGCAAAGTAACTATGGCTATTAGGCTTATAGTTTGCACGCATGACGCATGGGAGAACATGATGTGTTTTGGCAGACATCCATTCTGAGCAAGTTTCTGCTCTGGAATGTCTTGCCTCATCATGATGATTATTTTCATTGGCTGAAGGGTGCTCGGATATTCAGGCTCTCTGGTGTACAAGTCTGCAGTATGAATTTGTAAATTGAACACCTAAACTAATCGTTAACTTGTGGAGGAGTTTTAAGGATTTTATTGCATATAGGTACTTGAAACGCAAATGATGCAGGGCAAAATTAACTTTATGTTGTTTTGATGCAGTGAACGAAGCATACCAGTTCTCATCAATTACAAGTGTGACACTTTTGGACTGTTTCACAATAGCTTGGGTCTTAATTTTGACGTGGATCTTCCTACGCACTCGATATTCCCTATGGCAATTGTTTGGAGCAGCCACCTGTGTGGTGGGCCTTGGTTTAGTGCTTCTTTCTGATGCCGGGGTGGGTGGTGGAGGTGACTTTCTCTTACGCTTTTTGGACTAAATTTTCCATTTGGGTAAATAATTGTTACGAATACTTTTCAAACATTTGCCCTTTTTTTTTTCTCAAAAAAAAGGAAGAAATGTTTTAACTTATGAGTTAATGATTGTGTTTTGAGTGGTCTGTTATTGGTGAAGTTTTCCCAGTTGATATGAGGACAATTTTCTTTTTACTAAAGAAAAAAAGAATGAAGAAGACAATCATTAAATAGTCCTATATCTATCACTAGAATCATACCCAGTTATGTAGCATCTTTTCACAATTTTCATTCATCCTTCAGGTGGCTCAAAACCTCTTCTAGGGGACATACTTGTCATCGCAGGAACCATTTTCTTTGCCATGAGCAATGTTGGTGAGGTTGGTGAATCCTTTCGAACTCGTATTTTCTGTCATTTTATCCTTGTAAAAAGGCATCAATGGCAGGAGAGACTTTTACAGTAAAAAAACCCTTCACCTGAAACTTACATACTTTTCCTATCCCATTTTTAGCTGCAGAAGTGGTAATATCAATGGAACATCCAAGATCACTGAACCCATGTTTCATTTTATCTCTCTCACATTCACACAGACACAATTTTTGGTTGACTTTAAATATAATTATTTTTACACCGAATAGTTGCCTCTCTTGAGTTGTTTCTCATCTTAGTCCTTCCTAAAATGCAGGAGTTTTGCGTTAAGAAAAAAGATCGTGTTGAAGTAATTTGCATGATCGGTGTTTATGGATTTCTAGTGAGTGCATGTCAGATGTATCCTTTTCATCACGAAGTGCATACAAGAAAGTGGCTTCATATAATTTTTACCATGATTCTGTATTGGAGAACAATATCTCTTGGACTCCTTAACCCTCTTGTAGGTCTATCCTGGAATTAAAGACTCTGGAATCAGTTGAGTGGTCTACAGATATTGTAAGTGATCTTAGCTTTGTATATATGTGAATAAATTTGACAAATAAATAAGCAGGCTTTCTAATACTTTCTGTTTTTTCTGGGGCTGTCTTTGTAACTCTGAAAATATACAGACCTTAAATTGTGAAAAGGTTGCTCAAAGTATGTAATCCTGTTGTGGATCTCCTGTCTCATTCCGAGCAGTTCTTCCACCCTAATTAGGACATGAATCAAAATATCAAGGTAGTTGCATAGCTTGGGGTTTAGGAGCTTGAAGAACAATTCATAATTACATTTCATGTGGCCATTGTTTACCCTGCTTTACAAGCTGGATTGACATCCTTGACATGTGAGATCCTGCTAGGATCATGCGGTAACATGAACAAGTTCAACTAGGTGTTGATCATAATTGTATCGTTGGATGATGTAAGGTTCATAATTTTTATTTATTTATTTATGTTCTTTATTCTTTTAAAAGATTAGAGCCTTCAAGAATTACAGTTAATGATGAACTTGCGGAATATAGACAAAGTGATGATTTACTGCCGCTTATATAAATGCTTGAATTCATGTACTGAAATCCTAGATGAAAGAAAAGAGGAATCTTTAGAAACTTTACATACTGCATTACATGATATAAAAGGCTAAGATATCTGTTTTTCCTTGATTGTGTTTTCTTCTTCTTAAGTTGAGTGCTCTGTTTTCTTTCTTCCCAGATATTAGCCTTTGCTGGTTATGGTGTATCGGGCTTGTTGTTCTACACACTTGCTCCACTTGTTCTCAAGGTCGATTTTCTTCTCCTCAACTGTTAACACACTTACTTCAAATACAATAACCAATTTGTTACATTAACTCCCATGGAGTGAAGCAGTTCTAAGAATTACTCACTTTTAACATGTAAAATAATTGATTTTTTCCCCACACAGCTGAGCGGAGCGACATTACTGAATCTCTCTATTCTCACATCTGATATGTGGGCAGTTGTCTTTCGCATCTTTTTATATCGCCAGCAGGTACCTTAACGATGGACCCCCACATATTCAGAAGAATTCAATTGTTATGAGCCTGATACTGTATAGATTTTTGAAATTATTATATGCTCATACCTTCCATATCCTTATAAATTGCTCACACTGATAGTAAACCTGACTCGAATTGCAGGTAGACTGGTTATACTATCTAGCGTTTGCAGTTGTAGTTATCGGACTCATCATTTATTCATTAACGTACGTTTCTGACCTTGTATTGAACATACTTCATTAAATACTCAAAATGTGTCATTGGAATTAATCGTTAGAAGAACACTTGATTGTTTGCTGTTATAGGGAAAAAGATCCAGTTCCTGTACCTGAACTTGAAAATGGAAACCCCAGCTTGGAATACCAAGTTCTTGAAGATGAAAGTGCTGCTACACCAAGAAATCAAGCTTTGACTTCGTGAGGGGGATAGAAGCACTGGTCTCGAGCGGACTGAAACATCGATATCCGCTGACAAGTATTCCGGAAACCTGGTATCGATCTCATCTTAGGCAGGGATTGGCTCAACTGTACCAGCAGACATAAGTGGGAAGACATGCATTCTAACTTCTATGCTAATACATCTACCAACAGCAATGACAACCTCCACTTTTTGGAAAGAGGATGCCAATTATAGCTAGTGCAGTAACTGTTGTTGGGAAATGCTTTTTTGTTTTGTTTTTGTCTGAACTGTTGGGTATTGAGAAGAACACTCTTCGCAGTCTTGCTAGTTATCCAAAACAATATTATTCATTTTGGAATTGAAACAGCTTCTCAGTATAGCCAATTTGTATTAATGTCCCAGATGTATCAGTATGGATATGTTAGAATTTCAATACAGCATTCCTGCTGTCCAACAGTTGGGATTTTTTTTCCTTTTCTTTTCATACAAGAAATACAGACATGAATGTCAGAGTCACACACCAGCACTCTCTCTCTCCCCAAGGAAATGAAGCAAAAAGAGACAGACAATTTTAAAATGTTTTATATAAAGGCCCAAGCAACAGCCCACTAGTCATGGGCTTAAAAACCAAAAATATTTTTTTTCAAGAAACAAAAAAAAAAAAAAAAAAAAAAAAGCAAAAAAAAAAGGGCCCCTATAAAAACCCCCAAAAATAATCCAAAATCCAAAGAAACACCCAAATTTCCCTCCTTTCAACTCCCCACAAACTGACATGGACCAACAAAACTCCACCACCACCTCCACAACCCCAACTCCAACTCCAACTCCCTCCACCTCTCAACAACCACCCTCTGAACCACCAACCCAATCCCAACCTCAACCTCCACCTCAATCTCAGCTTCCCCCACCTTCCTCAACAGCTCCTTCAACCCCAACCCCAATCCCTCCGTCCCCAAACCCTAACCCTAACCCTAAACCCTCAACCCCAGTAACCCCACAACCCCAACAGCCCCAACCCCAACCCCAGTCTAGGCCTCCCTCCACATTGGCTCGCCCCTGGCCGCAGTCCCACTTCGCCCACTTCCCGTCGCCTTCTTCTTCGGCTTCGTCTGGGCCTCCCCCTCCGCCCTCGTCCTCCGCGCCTCCCCCGCCGAGGGGCGGCATTGCCATTGGTGTTCCTGCGCACCACCCTAGCCCTTCTCCTCCTCAACCCGCTCCCTTCTCGTCCTCTTATGGCCAGCATTTTGGTGGCCTGGGCCGGGGCGGTGCCGCTGTGCCTGAACCCGTATCCAATTCCAGTGCTTCCCAGGTGACATTTTACTTCTATCAACTACTACAATACTGTTATTTGCAGAAAAAATGAAATACAAATGAACGTGTGGTAATTATAGTGAGCATTTGACATGTTGGGTGACAAAAAAAGAACTGAAATTTGTGGTTTTGTTCTGTTGCTGTTGTATCTATATAGAGGGTTGGTTTTCTCATTGGGAATACTAGATGTATTGAATTTGTATGTTTTTCTCATATAGGTGAGACCGTCTGTGCAAGGAATGCAAGGAATGGCGATGATGGGTTCACTCGGTTCAAGTTCTCAAATGCGGGCAGCTGGGGTTAGTGCACAACATCCACAGAGACCTGTCCAATCCTCTTTTAGACCACCATCTACCGCAAGTAGTCAGTCCCCGTCTTCCCAAGTTAGTATCTCGTTGTAACATTTACTATTTTGATTTCAATGTTCAATTTGGAGTTCATAGGCATGTGAGTTTAGATATGTAATGTAATAGTACTCTGTCATGACACACAAGATGAAGTTGTGTTGTCTTCCAAGGTTTTTCTGATTGCCTTTTTAGAGGAATTTTTTCTTTCTAACTTCAACATACCGTTAGTGTTCGCATGATCTCCATTTTTCAATTTGGGTCTTATGAACAAATTGCACTGTTAAGTTCATTGTTCATCAAAGGTTTTGATCATGAAGCTAACAAAATATCATAGAGTATTGTTTGAATTTTGTTTCCAAGAATACGAGAAACCCATAACATTTTAGCCTTCCTTATTGTATAAAATGGATATGCTCGGGGGTTCCATTTCTGTGTCCTGTTTTCTATTTTGGGGTTCAGTTGGATCATGCATTCATTTACTTTAGACCTTTATGTTGATTGCTGCATCTGCTCATTACTGCTCGTTGTTGTTGGTTTGCCTTCTTCTTAAACACTTCTGCTGTTCAAATTTTTTTTTTCTTATTTTTTCTGAGCCTATAAGTATGCTTGCTGATTCCATTTCCTTTATGCAGAATTTCCAAGGACACAGCCTTTTACGAGTTTCTTCAGTAGGAACTCCGAGTACTTCACCAAATACATCTCAAGGTTTGCAGCCTCATACTCAGCCATGGTTGTCTTCTGGGTCACAAGGGAAGCCTCCTATACCATCCCCTTCATATAGGCAGCATATGAACTCACCATCCATGCAGCAAAGGTCACATGTTCAGCAGCAACAGCACCATCCCCTTCCTACTGCTTCACAGCAACAGCACCATCCCCTTCCTACAGCTCCACAGCAACAGCACCATCCCTTGCCTTCAGCTTCACAGCAACAGCTCCATCCCCTGCCTTCAGCTTCACCGCAACAGCACCATCCCCTGCCTTCAGCGTCACAGCAACAGCACCATCCCCTGCCTTCAGCTTCACAGCAACAGCACCATCCTCTGCCTTCAGCTTCACAGCAACAGCATACATCACCGGCGCAGCATCAACAACCTTCTTCATCGCATCAGGGACCTGAGCATTTTGGGCAACATGTTCAACCATCAAGGATCCCACAAACAACCCCCCGTCAAATTACAAGGGTCCAGAACCTGGCAAACCAGAAGTCTGCCTCTCCTGCATCAGTACAGCCTAACACAGTCCAATCAGGGCCCCAAAATAAAACTGCTAGTGCAGAAACGGATGAATCTTGTAATAGAATTCTTAGCAAAAGAAGCATCCATGAGCTAGTTAACCAGGTAAGTCATGTTGGCCTTCTTTCATCATATTTTGATATTTGTGCATGCTAGCATTAGTCCAGAAGTTTCATCAGCAGTCACTGTTAAAACTAATTTTAAAAGACATTCATTTCATGTTAGAGTGGATTATATGTCACATTTTGTTAATGGTTCTTAAAGGAAATAGTTTCGTCCATTTAAATTTGGGTCAGAAAATTGCCTCTAGCATGTGAATTGGCAGCTCCAATATCTCCAAAATGCTGTATTATTTTTTCTCCATATATTCCACATTATATAAGAGGGAACTGCGTTCCCAACCGCTTGACTATAATATATTTTTTCTTTTCATTCAGAATACATGTGAAATTCAAGTTCTTTCGTTTTCCCCTTATGTTACTAAGTTTTCTTCTTTTGGACAGATTGATCCATCTGAGAAGTTAGATCCAGAAGTTGAAGACATTCTCATGGATATTGCAGATGAATTTGTTGAGTCTGTGAGTAATTGAGCTAATATTTTGTCTTCTTTTTTTTTGCACTTAAAGGATATCCCTGATTATTATTCAGCATATATGCCTAAACAAATTTTGGCAATTTATTTCGTGAAACTAGACCCTTTTGTATGTTGCTAACCATGGTAACTTTTTAGTTTGTTCTCACAGATGTTTTCCCAAAAGAATCAAAAGAACATTAAGCAGTCATATTTATGTGTTGTGAGATTTTTTCTTATTTTTTCTAAGAAATTATCTGTTTAAAAGGATGTTTTTATTTTATTTATTTTTATTTCATTGAGTGTTCAGTTGGTGCCAGTTCAAGAAGGAATTTGTTCTGAATTTTTGAAATTCCTAATGTTCACATTCTCTTAATTTTTAAGTATTGACTATCTTTTCCTTTTTGGTTAAACTCATGGGTATCCTTATGATAAGGCTTTATTTTGCTCAATTGTCTTGTTTGGTTTTTGCTTGATCGCTTTCAATATACTCTATAATGATTGTGCCTTATCCACTCTATTCTTGTTTTCTAGATATTTATAATATATTTTTGTCATAATTCTTATGTTGACAGTATGCTTTTTTCGGTGTGCAGATTACAACATTTAGTTGCTCACTAGCCAAGCATCGAAAATCAACTACGTTAGAAGCAAAAGACATACTTCTACATATTGGTTAGTTATGTGAGAGAAGCCCTCGATGATTTTCTGTTCACATTATGTACATCTAGTGCTTCATCATCTATATCTTATTTTGTTTCATACAGAAAAAAATTGGAATATAACTCTTCCTGGGTTTGGTGGTGATGAGATTAAGGGCTTCAGGAAACCAGTAAGCATTGATTGACTGGTTGCTGTTATGTTTAGATTGTAAAACTTAAGAACCTATGCTTATGGTTATACAAAAAAACAGTATTTTTTTAATGATTAATTAATTGATGAATTTGTTTTGTGTGATGGCTTTGCAGCTCACAAACGATATTCACAAAGAGCGTCTTTCTGTTGTAAGTCTGGCCTGTGTATTTTCCCTTCTCTATGGACATTCGTGCACCTCTACACATTGTTTGTGTGTGTGTGAAGTTTGGGTTGGGAATTGGCTCATGCATGTTTTCTTTGCTAAACTTTGAGTGGAACTTGGGTGTTTAGATTAATGCATGATATCAACAGAAATGTGTAATACTCGCTCGTTATATTTCTCCTGTTTTACTTTTACTCTCCCTTATTTAACAGATAAAGAAGTCCATAGTAGCAACTGAGACAGCAAATGCTAGGAGTTCAACTGGACAAGCCACTGGAAATGCAAAGGGTAGTCTTGTTAAAGCACCTGCCAATGTCATAAGCTCCCAAAACACCAAAATGCGTGAAGTTACTTAATGACCTTAACTGTTGTGAGCAGATTTATACTAAAAAGGTATGTCAAATATGATGCTTATATTTGTGGTCACATATGCTAATTGCTGCTGATATTTGTGTTAAGCATACTGCAAGTCTGCATGTTGATGGTTCAGAATTTCCTAGAGTAAATGTTGCACTTATTTTTGAGGTTATTATGCATAGCTTGTGATGTTTGTGAAAGTGTGGATATTGGATTATAGTCCTAGTCTCAATTAACCTTGGTGGTTGGTTAGCCAAAAGATTAGTTATTTCTGTTATGTTTGTGTGCCTGCACTCATTTTTTTTTCTCCTGTCCAACAGTTGGTAGGTCAGTGGCATCACGGAGTTCTTTCGTATAGTGCAGGTGGCCAAATTTTGCAGTAGAAAGTCTTACGGTTGAATCGGAGTAATCCTAGTGGGCCAAAGTTTTCCCAGGGGCGGGGTGGTGGTTTAAGGAACCAGAAGTCTTCCTTCGGGTTACATCAGTGAAGTTGAAAGTATAAGTTCCACCAAAACAAACTGATTAATCCTGACCCTTTTGGCTCACCAAATCGTATAGTTCCTTCGACCAGTTGTATGGCAAAAATTTTAAACACGTCTGTAAATGGGGCCATACATAGAAATGTTGTTTGTGTTTTGCTTTGGCTGTAAATGGGCAAATCAGAGTTTTGTATCTATTTATCCATCTTTACCAATATTACCATGCATCATACACCGAAATCTCAAGCAATTAGAAACCATCAAATTCCAAAAACCCTTTTGGTGTTCTAATAGTAAATTTGCTCTTAATATTCGAGGGCATAAAATCGGCAGGATAATATGATTAGCTTTAAGCAAACCCACCACATGTAGTGGTTGGTGATGTGTCAAAAGTGGCCACTTCTGTTGATTCAAGATTTGATGTTGCTTTTTGGTCTTTGTTTTACATGAATTATTTTCAGTTGGTGTACTATTAAATTATGTATGCTCATGGGGGAAGAAAAGTAGCTTTACCATAAAACATTTAAATATTGTGAACCTCTGCTGATTGTGTGGGATGTCACTCAGACACGTGCAATTCCTGCCCACATGTCTATTGCCGTGTTCTGAACGTGAACTTAGAGATTCGAATTTGAGTGCAAAATCAACTTACCTAATTCACGTCACCATGTTAGTGTGGTGTTTGTAAACCAGTGGAAAACAATAATTTCTCATGCGTTCCATAATTTAAGGTTGAGTTACAATATTAAAGAAAAGTGGTTCTCATCTCATAATTTGGTCATGGTGCATGGTGAGGTCATTCCCTAATGCTCTGCTCAATTGTAAAAGTGGTGTCATCAAATTGTTCAATTCATTTTTTTATGCTGGTTGGGATAAAATATACTTTTGATTTTGTCCAACGAATAAATTCTAATTATAATCTGGACCAAGAGTCGACCTACACATGTAATTAAAGGTTGTAAAATGCAAACCCTTCCCAAAATTAATTCTCTATCATTTCTAATCATGATCCAGGATTATGACATTAGTGGGGTTTAAGTTTAGGGAGATTCATTATTATACCAAATATAAGAGCACAAATTATATATAAAAAAAATTATATATGAAATGGACTTTAGAAACACACCTAAAACTCATTTACAACATAACAAAAAGGCTTTTAACTTCTTTAAATTATAAAACTGTCATTGATTTCTTAAAACAACATCAACCCCAAAACCTCGTAAAAAAATCCCAAAACACTCAATAGGGCATCAAAGTGATTTAATAATCAAAATTAAATTCAATAGGGCCAGCTGTTATTTTTTGAATTTTTTTTGGGTTTGTTTATAAAAATTAAATGATGTAGAGTTTATCTATATTATTAGTGTTAAGAATGGGTATATGACTAAATATCTCTTAAGTTTAAGCAAAACATCAAGAGAATTGCATCCTGATGTGTAATCCAATATAAAGCTCTTTAAAAAATGGTTTATTAGTAACTAATTTTAATTAATCTTCTGATCACACTTCTTATTAGAAATAATTAATAATCAACGAGGATAAGAATAATTATATTTTCATAATAAAATAACCAATCCAATGCATGTGGTTGCGTGGAATCATAAATAATACATGCCAAAATCTGACAACTAACCACAATCCCTTTCAATTGGTCCTTGGCTTTAGAAATTAAGCAGGATCGAATGTTAGCTTAAGATGTATAAAAAAAATAAAAAATAAAAGGTATTATATAATGACTAACCCCAAAAAGAGTAGGAGTAGGTAATATTTACTTTTCATGCATTTACAATTACTATTTTTAGTTACTTATGAACTGATATTGTATAATTTAACATACTCTAAAATTAAGAGCGCTCAAGCAAGAATCGGTTAACAAGTTAATATGATGCTAACCACTTATTTTAGTCCACATAAATGTATCATTAAAAAATTATTCAAACAGTTCATTATTTAAAGTCATCATTCAAAAATCATTCTTACAAAAGTCAACAAAATCGACCAAACCAAATACTAAAAGTTTGTATATTATTATCTTATTCGACTATCCGAGTCTGTCACGTTTAACAATGTAGTGTGATTATAACCACCATTAGAATAAACTCAACCAATACAAGTAGTAAGCCTAAGTTTCTGTAATTTTCATTTCTTTCTTGTATCGGATAAGCCTAATTCTATCCTGTCAATTTTCGCCCCCCCGGGAAGAATATTCTGTGAGCTGGGGATGTTCACGATTGTAATTTTACAATGAAAACAGAAAATAAAATAAATTAGTTAATTGGAAAAAGCAAAGAGACCGGACAAGATTCAGATCCACGTGTCGGTTTCTAATTGGTCCGGACAAAGAACCCCTTCTTCATATTCGGGCACCTAACAAAACCAACCAATATATATACTCGCCCAGAGGCCTCGCGGTAGCTGAGCTTCGCATCGCTCTCTTCGTCCCTTCGGATCGGACGAAACCCCAATTTCGATTATAATATTTCAGGCTATGTGTGTATGTATATGTTGATGTATAATATATAATATAAACGCGCATATACATACACATTATATAAGTACTCTGTCCTCTGGTTCTTCTCTCGCTACCTTCTGCGACCTAATCCTTCTGAGATCGGAGGCGTTTTTGGGGAGCACGATGACGAATACTCACGGTGTGGTGCTCGATGGCGAAAGCGACGGCGTTTTGGACTGCCAGCTGAAGCGTGAGAAGCTCATTATTGATACTGACCCTGGAATTGGTGAGTTTTTTCCGTTTCATTTCGCGCGTCTTTTGCTGTTTTGTGTGTTCCTATTCCTGCTTATATCCTCTGTTTGGTTGCTGAGAAAGTGTGGGAAAAAGGAAAGAGGATATAATTGAAAATTTGGATTTTTATGTGTTTGATGTTATGAGTCGTGGAAAGTGAGCAACTTGCCTCAGCTAAGAACGGTTAGGCACTTTTGCTACATTTGCAGCAGACAAAAGGAGTTTTCCATTTTTGACGTGTTTCTTTATCGAATGTTTAATTGTTTGTATGTGAAACAGTGATATTGACGTTGTGGGAATCTTTAGCAAATAAAGTAATTGCATTGTGGAATTACTTGTTGGTGTTTTCAACTATTTCACCTTGCTGGGAACTGGAAATTGAACGATGGGTTTTTTTTTCTTCTTCTCTTATTCGCATGCTTTATTAATGAGTGAAGTTTGAAAAAGAAAGGGATGAAATATTGTTTTTGGGTGTGAATTATGTTTTAATCGGAATAACTGATAAATTTTACAGTTCTATTTGGTAAAACAATTTGCTTTCTGCTCTTTGCAAAAGTGTTTCGAGAGCATCTGCTATAACATTTGAAAAGGCAAGAAAAACTAGAGAAAGGGAAGGGGGAGGTGTTGGCGGGCAGTGTTGAGAAGTTCATTTGCTGTTATTCTCAATGTATTAATATGCACTCTAATGAATCAGTGAGGTTGCAGAAAATTTTGAAATTCCTGCATAAAATTAGATCCAAATAACATTTCTGAAGTTGGATAAAATGATATTGGAAAACCTTCTGGTTATGGATATATAGATACTGGTTTATGAACAGCTTGTAACGACTTCTTTTTCTCTTTTCTCTTCTCGACATCTTTCATGTGTGATATTTCTATTGGTACTAAACAGATGATACCATGGCTATCTTAATGGCATTTCAAACTCCAGAGTTGGAAGTCTTGGGATTGACAACAATATTTGGTAATGTTACCACAGAAGATGCCACTCGCAATGCCTTGCTTCTGGTATGTACTTGTATCAATTGATTTCCCTCTTCTTGTAGACTGAGCCTTTTTAACGTCTTTGGGCTTGTCTTTTCTAGTGTCTATCCTTTTTTTCCCTTCATTTTTTAGTGTGTTCATGATCAATTAGTGTTTTAAATGTGCAAAAGGATAGTGTGAGATCGCAGGGCATCCAAGTTTGCCTGTGGCGGAGGGAAGCCCTGAGCCTCTGAAGGTAATATTTTGATATACATTTCATCATTTAAGTACCCTTCATCTCCTCCCAATGCCTCCGTTAGTTTCCTAATCGAACATACTTTATTTAGTTTATCATATCTATGTTTCATTCTTGAAAAAAGGGTGGAAGGCCACGTGTTGCTGACTTTATACATGGTTCTGATGGATTGGGGAACATATTTCTACCTCCTCCAGAAAGAAAGAAAATTGAGAAAAATGCTTCTGAATTTTTAGTTGATATGGTCTCTGAATATCCTGGAGAAGTATCTATACTTGCCCTTGGTCCCTTGACAAACTTAGCACTGGTAAGTTGGAAGTATCATTTTTCCTTTTTTGTGTTTGCCTTGAGCTTCTGAATTCTTATTAGCCTTCCCTAATATGTGCATCGTTCCTTGCTTAGGCTATCAAAAGAGATTCTTCCTTTGCAAAAAAGGTCAAGAGGGTGGTCGTACTTGGTGGTGCTTTCTTTGCACTGGGAAATGTAAATCCTGCTGCGGAAGCAAATGTAAGTGCCACCTCTTTCTGCCACAATGATCCTAATTGTAGGCAGTAGTCACAAAACTTAGATAACGGATCGCCATATTATATTATGTTTTATCGCGATGAAAACATTTTCTTGGGATTTGTTTCCATCCCTCAGGCCTACTTTCAGCTCTTGTACTTGTATAACTGCAGTTAGTTGTTGCTAACACTGTTCTCTCATTTCCCTTTTCTGAAGGGAAAGAATGTTATTGCACTAAAAGTAGCTAGTATAATATTAAAATGTTCCATCATCTCAACGAATTGTACATGATGACACCAGTCTCTGACTTGCAGATTTATGGAGACCCGGAAGCAGCAGATGTTGTGTTTACTTCTGGGGCAAACATTACTGTTGTTGGAATAAATATTACAACCCAAGTTCAATTTACAGGTGGAATACCAGTTTATAGTTTGTTTAACTTTTCAACCATCTTCTCGTGCTGTTTTAAGGGAACTGTGAAATAGTGTTTTGGTTTCAGATGATGACCTCCTTCAACTGCGTCAATCTAAAGGAAAGCATGCTCAGCTGATAAGCGACACGTGCAAATTCTACAGAGATTGGCATGTTGAATCTGATGGTGTTCATGGTGACTTATTTATGCAATAACCCCTACACTTAGTTCAATAGTTTTTATGTTTCATTTTGTGTCTGATGCAATACATCTCAATGGCTCTCTGACATTGTTTCAGGGATTTTCCTTCACGACCCGGTCAGTTTTGTAGCACTGGTCCGTCCTGATCTCTTTACATACAAGAAGGGGGTTGTGAGGGTTGAAACTCAGGGCATCTGTGTTGGGCACACACTGATGGATCAAGGACTTAAAAAGTATGAGCCGATTATTATACTCTTGTGAAAATCCTATTTCTGTTAGATGCCATTTTGATAATTATGTTTGCTCTATTACAGTTGGAATTCAAGCAATCCATGGACAGGCTATTCCCCGGTTGAAGTTGCTTGGACAGTGAAAGTGGATGAAGTCCTTGATTGTATAAGAAGTCGATTGATGAAATCTTGAAAGCTGTGGGATTATGCAACTGCAATCCAAATGTCAATAAAAACCCAAATTGTAAACTGAAAGTTGGGTTGCCTCTTGTTACCGACAAAAATCGCTTCATGGCCTTTCTTTCCTTCTTCGAGGTAGTAAAGAGCTAGCTCGCCTGTGCAACCTTCCCCTTCAATATCCTGAACTTGTAAAACATTTGCTAAATATTGTCCAATTAGCTGTTAATGAAAGTTGTCAACATGTTGGAACTTTTGTGCAATCAGATTCTTGAGCCATTTGGTTTTCCCTGAGCACACGATGTGATGGTTGATGTGTAAATTAACAGTTGGTCATAATGATCGATATGATAAACACATAGCAATCGATTAGAAAACATGGTTACTTGAACAATTTGCTTTCCCCATCGGAAATATATTTTACTTAACCACTTGGCTGACGTACAATTACTCTGTTTCTTCTCAAGAAAACCCTCCAAAACTTTTTTCTTCGATACTTTGAACCTCAAGAAATCTAACGCCAGTCCATTCTTGTGAATGTGACAGCCCAACTGTGCTCTGTTTGGATGATAATCCTGCACTGATTGAGTCGAACGTTCGCTCTCTGTATTGTTTTATGCGGTACCAGTTTATCTGGTCTCTAATAATTGAGTCCAAATGATAAAATATACAAATCATGGCTACCCCAAATGCTTTCTAAGATTATATTTCAACGACCCATTACAATTATGGTAAGAACAGAAGAAAAAAAATTGTTACTAGAAATTCAGAATAGTCATCTTGCACTCCGTTTTGTTTTCGTCTGTTCATTAAGGAGGAGTGCATAATGACTATTTTAAAGTGTTAATAACAACTCCATTTTTCGTCCATTGCCATGGTCCATTAAGGAGGAGTACTATCGAGTTGTTATAGATAGATATGTTATTTGGTATAAACCATGGTCCATTGCCACATCCTTTGCTGTCTTATATAGTGTTTAATACCTATTTACAATCGTCATGTAGCTAATTAATCAATCTATCGGGCGGCAGAAGATATAGTTTTCGAGTATTTCGTAATTTCATTGACAGATAAGACGTATTACCACATTATATATCTCAACGAGGAAGTAAGGTTTAACAATATATATATATATATATATATATCTTTGACTAAATCTCCCTCTCAGCCACCATTGTTGTTAATATGTCTTTATTGCCTGTACTAGGGAAGAAATTCTAAGCACCTCCCCTAGAAGACGAGCAAGAAAAAGAAGATAACAAAGAGAAGCAGGTGCCAAACAAAACCCAAAGTCCAAACCCCATTTAAAAAAAGCAGTTTAACCAAAACTTTCTCCTCTTCTTTATTCCTAATTGAGAGAACCGTTTCAACTCCCTCCATGAACTGTACCCACTCCAACCACCAAAGAAAAGAACCCTTCTCTTAAATAACACCATATGAACACACCTCTCCATGTACCATAATTCAATTCAACCAAACTTAAAGCCTTGAGAAGCCAAAAGGGTCAGCAGCATGGTGTGTGTTGTGTGTTCACCGGCCGCAGTGGCAGAGAAGATTTCTTGGTATTGTGCTTTGTTCTTGGGGGTGATGCTGGTTCTGAGCTGCTGCGAATCGTTATCGAGCGAAAACGAGTACAGGGTGAGGACGATCCAACTTCAAGTTGATCGTTTGAACATGCCGTGTGATGAAATTTATGTGGTTCATGAAGGAGAGACACTGCAAACAATCAGTGAAAAATGTGGTGACCCTTACATTGTTGAAGAGAATCCACATATTCATGACCCTGATGATGTTTTCCCTGGCTTGGTCATTAAGATCACTCCATTCAAACAAAGGTAGAACATTACTTCTTCTCCTTTCAAATTGTAAGTTTCTGTAGTAAAAGAAAAGTGCTACACAACCCAACTTTTCATTAACCAGACAGCTATGATTCGGAAGATGGCGGGCTAGAAGCATCGTTATCTTGTCGACCTCTATGTTTCTCAGAAAGAATTCAGAGGTGGAGTTTGTACATGTGTTGTTAAATTAATAGTTGATTTATAGTCTACATAGACATGTAAGTAAGATGCCATTCAGTTTGTGTTGTGGCTGAAATGGGCTAAGCTAAGCTAGCATTATGCTTTGGTCAATTTAGGAGATTGATTCTGTAATTTCAAGTTCCCCCCAAAAAAATTAGAATATTGCACTTTCTTACTTTTTCCTTTTCTTCTCTTTCATTATCAAATTTAAATATGAACCAAATCCTGCAAAGAAGGGTGTGCTAGCAATTTTGAAATTTTGTCGTCTACTTCCATTAGTTTATACTTTATAGTTATTAATTTGCTAGTTTCAACATATCCAAAATAGATATTGAAGAGAGAGAAATTTCACAGTAAATCAATATGAGAGTTCAATTTTTTCTTCATCTTTTTCGTGGGAATGTTTGCCTTTTATCTACCTCATTCTCTCGAGTGCTACTAAATTTTGTTACTGCACACATTATTTATCGTAGAGAATTCCATACGGAGTTGGAGTGGTCTTGGTAATTGCTTCACTTTTCAAATAATACTTTACATGAAGAATACTACCACATATCTTACTACTATACCAATAAATCTTTGTTTGAATTTTTGTTCTAGTTGGCAAAGCAATTGCAAAATCATCATCTTGCATTTTTTTTTACAGCAAGTAAGAAATAATCTTAGCCTCTCAAATTCTTTCATAGTTAGTAAAATACGAAATGAGAAAAATATGAATAAAATAAATATGTGTTTTATGCGATTGCAAAATCATCATCTTGCATTTTTTTTTTACAGCAAGTAAGAAATAATCTTAGCCTCTCACATTCTTTCATAGTTAAGATATATTATTTTTATTCAATCATATGTGCAAATTATGTGTATAATACGTGAATTTTGTGTGTTTTATTGAAAATTTAAAAAAAAAAAACGTGCCTTAAACATTAAAAATATATATGTACTTGTACAATACGTGTATTGTACATTTGAATTTTTTTTTTTAAATATGTATTTTACCGAGTCTTTAAGATTTGTACTGGAAACGGAAGAATTATTGAAAAATATATACGTATGTGTATAATACAATTATTAAACGGGAAATGCTAAATTCTTTATATGGGTAATAACTATGAAAAAGTTAAAAATCAAAAGGAGACAATAGAGACTCGGGTCATGGCCTAATAGTAATGAATAATACTCTAAACTACTCTAAACAGACCCAGTATAGCCGCGCGGCTATACTATTCATTGTTAAAAAAAACCCGCCTAGCGGCTAGGCGTCCGATAAGTGTTGATGACTTAATATTATCATGAGATTTTGAATAATCAAGTGTTGGAAAAACAGAATGCTATTGAAGAAACAATGTACAACAGAAACTGTGGCTGTGACCATACAGATCCGTATGTGGATTGCTCTTGTAAATTTCCATAATTAAGCATCAAGTTATACGTCAACTGGATCAAAAGATTTGAGCAACTCAGTTATCAGGTCCTGACGATTTGATGATTTTGTAGTCCAAATATGTTTATCAGGATTTTCTGTATCTGATTTGCGTGCTTTATGTATAACAATTCTGAATTAACACATCCACAAGACAACTTAGCTATGCTTTTCAGATACTGATTACCACTTTACTCCTTGACCATAATTTATCTTCATTATTTACCCAAGTGCTTAAATCAGGCATGACTATAAGTTTCTAAGCTCTCAATTATATGAACGTACAGGTTGTTTCAGTTCTGGATTTTCTTAACAATCTTCGGGTTTTATAATTGAATAATTTAGTACAAAAGATGGAATGAATGTTTTTATGTCTCTTTGTAGTTAATCATTGACTTTGTCAGATAAAATGTAAGTTTTGAAGATCTACCTGCCTTTCTCTCTTTCTCATGATTGAGCGTAACAATTTCAGGTCTGATGCAGTTGCAAAGCATATAATAGCAGTCAGCACTGATCTTACAGTATGCCAATGGAAAAAAAGACCACGTATGGCCGGGCCGCTGTACTGTTTAAATATCATTATATTTAAGGTGTAGAGCCGTTCGGCTATACTATTTAGTTTTAATAATAACCCAGTACAGCCGTGCGGCTATACTATTTAATTACATTATATGTAAGAAGTATCGTCGTGCGGCTATAAAGTTTTTTAAAAGGACCCAGTAAGGCCGCGCGGCTATACGGTTTATTATTTAAAAAAAAATAAAAGAGACCCAGCGATTAGTCTTAGTTGGATAATCTTGGATCATCCAACAGGAACGCGAGCTTAGTTGGATCCACCGTTCTTGTTAATACTTTGACTGTCGAGTATGAGAGGATTTTTTATTTTTTTTAAAAGAAAAACATTCTGCCATACAAACTTCTCTGCTTTTCTGCGTGAATTGTTCACAAGGAGAACAAGTAGTGCCAGTTTCAGCTGCTGAGCCTGATTGGCGTCCTACTCCATTAACAAAGCTGTTCGTTTTTGGAGACTCCTACTCTGCCACGGGCAACGACTGGGATCCCGAAAACATCTGTTGGAGATATCCTTATGGCACCACCTTTCCGGGCAAACCCATGGCCGTTACTCCAATGGTCGTGTCCTCACTGATTTCATTGGCACAATTTTACCTACCCTTCAATATTACTTTGCTTTTTCCCGAAAATGTGTGATCCAATTTCACAATCGGCAATATAAGTAGAGTAATGATGAGTACGTAAAACACAAACGGCCTACACGTAATCATGTGTTCCACATATGATTAGATTACGTATATTATTTACTCGTTCTATACAAGAATTTCGTTTTTATTTGTTAAAACTAATGTAAATATGCTAATTCCTTTAATCAATTAGTTTTGTATTTGACCCAAAAAAAAAAAAAAAAGTTTTGTAGATGTAGTTCAGTCAGTCTAGCCAATATCTTATCTTGTGTAATATTTGTATTCACAGCCAAGTTCATATAAGACTCCAATGCCCTACAGATTTAGAAAATATACATGTAGCTGCCGATCATTTGAAATACAGAATAAATTTCGCCTATGGAGATCTGGGTGTGACAGATATCTCAGGTATATATAGACCCAAATATGATTGGACAGATTGACTTGTTTTAGCGGCTCGTCTAAAATCTTATAATATCATATTGACAGTTTAACAATATAATGTACATGTCAGATGAATAAAACATAATACTTAACAATACTTCATTAATATTAATGAACAAGAAGCATGTGTTCAATAATATCTTTGACCATCACTTGTTAATAAGTGTCATGACTTTAATTAGGGAAACAGAAGCTCAAAGCACCCATCTTAAAAAAATATAAGAAAGATGCAGGTGTTAAAATCCAAGACCAAATCCATTCATAAAAAAAGCAGTTTAACTAACTTTTGCTCCTCTTCTTTGTTTATTTTATGAAATACTATGTGCTGACATTTGTATATACCTACCACATTAAGAGAGGTGTTTCAACTCCCGCCAAGAATTGCAGCCACTCCAACTACCAAAGAAAAGCACTCCTCTTAAATAGCACCATAGCAACTCTCCACGTACCACAAGTCACTAATTCTTAGAAAAACCAACCTCAAACAGAGACATAAGGACTAGCCAAAAAAATCAACATGGCGTGTGTTCTGTGTTCATCAACTGCACTGGCAGAGAAGATTTTGTGGTACTGTGCTTTGTTCTTGGCGCTGATTCTGGTTCTCAGCTGCTGCGAATGGAGCGAAAGCGAATTCACGGCGAAGGTGGTCCAACTCCAAAGGGATAATTTGAACAAGCCCTGTGATGAAATTTATATGGTTGGTGAAGGAGAGACATTGCAGACCATTAGTGAAAAATGTGGAGACCCCTACATTGTTGAAGAGAACCCACATATCCATGACCCTGATGATGTTATCCCTGGCTTGCTCATTAAGATTACTCCATTAATCAAACTAAGGTAGAATGTATATTATTACTATATTTCCTCTTCTCCTTTAATTGTAAGCTTATAGTATTTGGTATCAACATGATGATGAGGGGCTAAGTGCCCAAGGTTAAGGTACCATTATCTTGATTACCACGAGGCTGAACATGTAATTTTGATGAAGATCATGTTTGGGAGTGATTCTGGGAGGGCCAGAATCACTTATGGGAGGAACTACATGGTGATAAACCTAATCCAGACTTAAAGTGATCTCCTGCTGCTAAGCCTTATCTGTGTTTACTATTATCTGTTATAGTTATCTTGTATAGGATAAATACCATATTGATACTTATCTCCATGTAAACTTGTTAACCCTTTGTACATGAGTTCTATGTAAACACATGAACTGCCCACCTATCAATTGTGGGTTGAGTTTATTTGTTCTGGTTCATTCTTTTACATGGGAGATGCTTCTCTATAAAATCACTTAAAATCATCTAAAGTGATTATATGAAGAAGTGATTCTCCATAAAAGTAATTATTGGTCTATCCAGAAAAATGAACATATGCTTCTTCATTAAAGAAAAAGAAAAGGAAAATGTTCTCAAATACTATTGCAACAAATAGCTCTATTATATCATCGTAATATGTTGTTGATATTGTATCCTATTATTTCAATAGTAAACAATCCCAAATATTCTTAACATGACATATATAAAATATCAGTATTCTATCAATCTTGTCAGTTTGCTACAAGAATAATAGTGCCAAAGGAGAAAAACTTACATGCTTTGGAGTAAAAAGACATCTCGCAGGAGTAGAGAAAAAAAGAGAGAGACACACAACTAATTCATACCACGAGTACATGCAAAAATTTCCCTGGCAAAGGCCGGGCCATGGCCAGTGATGGGCATTTGGACCCGAAACCCGGCCAACCCGCCCAAATCAAATCGATAGGTTGGGTTGGTTTGGTTTTTTTTCAAATTTTTTTTTGTCATCGGTTTGAACTCAAACCAAACCGAAATATATGGTTCGGTGTACAGTTTGCAATATTCAAACCCACGGTTTAACCAAACCAAACCGAAGATATTAAAAAATATTATATATAATATTATTATAAGAAATATATATAATACATAGTTTTAATCTTTTCTTTTCTCTCAATCTCTCCGTTTGTCTTGTCTTCATCAGTCCCTCTCTCTTTATTTTTATTTTCTCATTCTTCTTATATATGTCTTCACGCCCTCTCCCCATCTCCCTCTTCTTCTTTTTTCATTCTTCTTCTTCTCTCTCTCCTTTCTTTTTCTCCTCTTCTTATTCTTTTTCTCCTCTCTATTGCTTTTATTTCCTCTCTCTCTCTCTCTCTCTCTCTCTCTCTCTCTCAGAAAGCCAAAAAACCGAAACCGAACCAAACCAAACCACCAAGGCCGGTTAACCGAAGTGGTAAGTTTTCATCAATTATGATTTGGTTTCGGTTTTTAAAATAGCCAAACCGAGGCCTACGGTTCGGTTTCGGGTTGAGCCCAAAACCGAATCAACCCAAACCGAACCCAGCCCTAGTCAGTGTGACCTTATTAACATAATCTTGGATCATCCAACATGAACCCAACCTTAGTCTTAGTTGGATCCAGCACGTATGCTTAGTGTCGAAGACACCATTCATGTTAAGACATCTTGGGGAGAGTAATGTTCGTGCCTTAAGCTGCTGCCCTCATCGGTGTTCCTACATTTGTTTCCTTTAGTTCCCATGGACGCCAACTTTTTTTCATAATATTGAATTCACTTGGGGAAAGGCCCAAGAGGTCAATGTTTATGTGAGAAAACTTTTCTTGTTTTTTCTAATGGTTGCCATGGATCTTAAGCAATGCTCAACCTTTTACACAATTAGACATTGACCTCTTGGGCCTATCAACGCTAAAATCCTTCTTACGTTTGTGACTGCTGGTTTCACATTGGAAACACCTATTTTTTTACTTTATAATATCGACCTCAATTAACTTATTATAGGTACGTAGGCAGTCTAGGCTCAATCGTGCAAATTCGTTATACAAGGATTGAAGTTGAAGACAATAAGACGTCATGTCACCCATATGCAAGATGACTGTAGTGTAGACTTCTCTCTATTGGGTTGTCTTGTGCAACTTGTGTTCGGATTAAGAAAATCATTTGGATTTGTGCCAAGTACAAAATAATTCTCATTTGACCTGTTTAATTAATTACATGGTTTGTAATTCCTTATATGATATTATTTAAACACAACTGGCATTAGAAATATCTAACATGTATAAAAAACATATCCCCGTTGGAAATGACCCACTAGAAGAATTGACTAGGACCAGATTTGTATTAATAGATATTTAGTTATATACCAATTCTTAGCACTAGTGATATCAATAAACCTTACACTATTTAATTTCTATAAACAAACCCAAAAGAAACCCTAAAAAACGACAGCTAGCCTTGTTGAATTTAATTTTGATTATTAAATTACTTTGATGTCGTGTTTTGGATATTTGTATGAGGTTTTGGAGTTGGGCTTGTTTTAATAAATCAATGACAGTTTTGTAATTTATAGAAAGTTTGAAGTCTCTTTGTTATGTTGTAAATGAGCTTTGGGTGTGTTTCTAAAGTTCATTTTATGTATAATTTTTATATAATTTGAGTCCCTATATTGAATTAATGCACAAATTCAGTTTGATAATATTTTCAGTTTGATTGGATCAAATGTGGTAGGCAGGGCTCATGGCTCATTCTCATTTAGTAACATTTTATATTTGATTTTTGTTTTTCTGTTAAGGAAATGAAGGGAAGAGATAGAAGAGAACAAGTAGAAGAAGTACTGTGAGAGGGGACAAACGGGGGAGTGCAAAAAATAGAACTAAAACCAAAACCAAAAACTATTGCAAATTATTTTTAGATCTTAGTCACTTTCTCTTTAACTACAAAAACAAAAAGCATAGAATAAACACTACTAGCATTTTATCTTTTTCTTCTCGGTTACATTGGAAGGGGATCTTCAACCTATTCTAATCCTAAATCATTTTTTCATACTCTCGCTCGTAAATTGGGCTAACCAATATCGCTCAGCGGTTCTAACGTTTTACAAATCTAAAATCTAAGAAAAATTTGGTGATGTCATTAACACTCTAATTTTACCTTACACACTTCAAATTCATACACATGGTTTACAGTAGACTCTCATTAAAACAATGTAAACCCCTTTACAACCTATACCAGAGGAGTCCTAATACCAGCGTCCAAACTCTAAACCCCTTTACAACCTATACAAGCAAATAAAAATTTATAACTGTTCTTCATTGTGCTCTTGATGAGCAATCTAGGCCGTCTATTCACTGACCTTTTGTTAGGCCGGCCCTGTCCTGTTTGTTAGAGCAGAATCTTTAGAGCAACACAAAAAGTTCAAGAAAATTGGAACAATAATAGGTAGAGAATTATCATTTTTGTTCTTTTTTGTTTGTAAAAAATGACATATTCATTCCTTCTTTATTTTGGAGCAATTTCTTGGGATTATCAGGTTGGCTTTTTTCCTTTGGACTGAACAAAAGGCTGCATATTTATGCAAATTGCAATGTCACCCTTAGACAATTACATATTTTACCATCAACCCACACACTGTTTTTGACCAGGCTAGCTCACCCGCGGGTGATGTCATTGACTTGTGCCACTACATATATATAAAACCAGCCAAGAATCTCAGTTCTTCCATTCTTCCAGGTGTTCATTAATTAACTAGAACACATGATCATCTCCGTCTCCATCTCCATCTGCATCTCCATCTCTCTCTTCTAGCAAGCAAAGTTTCCTTTTCTACCTAAAAAACCAGTTGCCTTCTCGAACTCAAACCTTACCAACCATGGAAATAACTCAAACCCTCCTCCTCCTTCCCACTCTCTTTCTCTTCTTCCTCCTCTCAGGTCCCAAACTCACTCTCCCTCTGCATTAACCTTTTACTGCTTAATTAATTACTTGTCTTTCTTTTTTAAAAAAAAATTAAAATTTTGATTTGTTTTTTCTTGTAGGGCAACAAGGTTTGCTAGTTTCAGCTGCTCACCACCACCACCACCGCCACCACCACACACACCGCCACCTGTTTGATTGGCAGCCCACAAAGCTCTTTGTTTTTGGAGATTCATACTCCGACACAGGAAACAACAGAAAATCAGTGGCAAGTTCTTGGAAATATCCGTACGGAATCACATTCCCAGGCAAACCCAGTGGCCGTTTCTCCGATGGCCGCGTCCTCACTGATTTCCTCGGTACCAACTCCAAAAACCCTTCTCTCATTTTCTCCCTCTAATCATGTGCACTTCTCTGCTTTTTGGTGCAAAGTGTGAAAGCAATCAGCTTTTTCTTTTTTCTTTGCCTCTGTTTTTCTCTGTTTCTTCTCTGCTTTTGTGTATGATAAAAATACAACAATACATTATTGTTGTGAATAGTATAGTGGTGGTGGGTTCCTCTTCCTCTTAAGATAATGGGCGCTTTGGGTGATTTTCTTTTTATCTGTAAAAATTATTGCATTATTGGGTAAACTTTTTGCTTTTCCAGTCTCTCATATGTCTGGCTGAATTCTTACTTTCTCACGTGAGGTCGCTTCAAGCTTTGGACACTTCTTCTCTGCATCTGCATTATTATCTCTTAATCTTAAACTTGAACCAGAGTTTTCTGTGTTAAAGTTGTTAATTATCTACTTTGTTGTCTGAACCTTCTTTACCCCACACCCTGTCTTTGTTCTTTCAACCCTTCATCCTTACTTTTTCTTAGTGGTTAGTTAATCAATCTGATTTGTGCCCCTGCCTACACGATGTAGGTGTCGTGTAAAGTAAAGCAATGTTTGTGTCCTTTACCATCATGGTTAAAAACAAAAACAACACTTTGGTGACTCAAAATTCCACTACTTCTATTCTAATTCCCCAATTGCCTGTACTAACTACTCCACTAGAGCGATTCTTCTGTGGGGGTTGCCGTAAACGGCAGCACGACGGATGGGGCTGGATGGCACCAAAATACAGGGGTTCAATCTTTGTGAGAGTGATCACATAGCCATGTGGTCCGGGTTGCCGGACATAAGAACTGCTCTAAATTCTCTTCATTAAAATGGCCTACTCCATTGTTTGCCTGTCACGCGACAAATTGAGTGGCATGCATCGTCCAATCAAAATATGTCGTGTGTTATCCATCATATGTCCATTAATCGATGAATACCTCCACCAAAATTGAGTGGCATGTATTGTTATTGTTATTTGTTTATTTTTAAGTCACGCGCATATGAGATTCTAAAATTTATGTAACACATTTTGTTACACATGATGCAGCAAAGTTCATAGGTGTGAAGTCTCCACTACCATACAGATTTAGAAAAATCGGGGTCCAACATTTGAAATATGGAGTGAATTTTGCACATGGAGGCACAGGTGTGTTTAAGACCTTGGTTTTGGATCCTAACATGACAACCCAGATTGACTTCTTCCAGAACCTCATACAAAACGTTTCTGTCTTCACCCCCAAGGATCTCCACTTCTCCGTGGCCCTCGTCACAGTTTCCGGCAATGACTACGCAACTTATGTCGCCACAAATGGCTCTGTTCAGGTCAGCATATAAAATAATCAATATATCAAAATCTATTCAGAATTAGTATTCAATTAACAACAGAGATAAGAATCTACATGTGTAAATTTTCATTTGAGTTTTCACCAAAAAAAGAAGTTTCATGTTGATAAAAATTGGAGATGCAAGTAATTGATTGAAAATTTTAAAGCACCAACATTTGTCCCAAAAAAAAAAGAGAATTATTTTAAGTTGACTATGATAATTCTGTCCAATTAAAAAGTTGACTAATATAAGGAGATGATGAGGGATTAGAGATCATGGACATGGGCCTTAGGTGAGATTAGGTGGATCTCTCTGATCCAGAAAATCCTGGTCTGTGTTGTTGTGTGTTAATAAGTATATATTTGAACTCTCTCTCTCTCTCTCTCTGTTTATCTGTGTGTTTATTACAGGGTTGGCAACCCTTCATCACATCAGTAGTAAATCAATTGACTGTGAACTTGAAACGTATATATGACTTGGGAGTGAACAAAATAGTTGTCATAGCTCTTGAACCTCTGGGATGTCTCCCTCGGAGCACAGCCGAATTTTCTTTCCAAAAGTGCAATGGAACGGTGAACACCCTAGTCGGTTTCCACAACCTCTTGTTGCAGCAAGCTGTGGCCAAGTTGAACAACGAAACCAAGTCTTCTTCTTTCCTCATTCTTGATCTTTATACCTCCTTCACATCTGTGTTCAAGAACAAAGGCGACCTAGGTGACTACTAACTCTCCCTCTCCGAGTCTCTCTTTAGCTTTCATATTATAAGAAATATCTAGCAAGACAACGTTACCCTTTATGTTAGGTCACTTCTTTCTCTCTTCGGTTTTTATATTTCGGAGCTAATACACGAACTATCAATAATTTCGTTCTTGTGCAGGAAGCATAAAGTTTGAGAACCCATTGAAGCCATGTTGTGTTGGTGTAAGCAGTGGATATTATTGTGGGAGTCTGGATGCAAATGGCACAAAGAAATATACCATTTGTCAAAACCCTGAATCTACATTCTTTTGGGACGATTCTCACCCTACCCAGCAGGGCTGGCGCGCTGTGTATTCTACTTTGCGATCCACACTTGAAGAGCTCTATACTAATTAAAGTTTCCAATTGAATATGTGTTTTAATTCTGTGTCATACTAGTTCGCTTGTGTTGCATGCATTTTCATCTTAGATGTCTTTATGATTTGTTCATTTGTTAGGGTTTTGTCCTTCTCTTGTAATAATAATATCGTATATATATACGGTTCGGGGCATAAGTGTTTAAATGCATTTAAAAATGCAAGTCATTTCAATATTATTCATCACTTGCAAGCCAATCTTCTTTTTTTTTTTTTTTTTTTTTTTTTTTTTTTTTTTTAATATCACGAGGTGTCCCCACACCCGAAGGGTGGGATTAATCTCCGCTCAGGATTCAGTTTGTCTCTGGCCACAAAGTGCTTCCAACGGATTTCGAACCCATTGTAAACTATTTTTTGTTATTATATATTGATTTTTTTATTTTTGATTTTTTGATTTTTTGAATTAAGAAAAGATAACATAAGTAGTTATATTCCATAAAAATAGGACCTATTATTTGATTTTTTTTATTTAATTTTTTTAATATGAAAAAATATAAATTTACTATATTATCTTCATTTAATTAATAATTTCAATTCTTAATGTTTGAATTAACTAAGGACATTTTCTAGTATTTTGAATGTTTCACCATTCTCTGCCTTTTGCTTTATATATATAGATAAGCCCACAAATATTCTTGTTGTCTTCAATGTAGAGATGCTTGTCTAATCCTGGCCGCCTTTGACTTAGGGCCAGTTTAGGGCTGTTGTCACTTTTATAATAATAATAATAATAATAATAATAATAATAATAATAATAATAATAATAATAATAATAATGTGCTTAGCTGTAAAATAAAGTAACTCTATGTTTGATAAACAAGTATTTTAAGGTGTTGTTAATACAAAAAGCAATGTCAAAATCGTTTGGTAAATTTTAATATAAAACTGTTGTAACTGTGAATAATGACTAAAATAAACATGATGTTGAAAATGTTATGCGCTAATCATGTGGTGGTGGTGGTGACAGAGATGGAGGTGAGGGTGGTGGTGAAAGAGGCGATGGAGGTGGAGGTGGAGGCGGATGATGAGGTGGTGGTTGTGGTGGTGGAGGAGGAGGAGAAGGATGTGGTGGTGGCGGTGGTGATGTGGTGGAGGTGGTGAAGGTAGTGGTGGAGTTGGATGTAGAGGTGGAGGTGATGTCATTTTTAAAAATTAATGATGGTATTTTGAGAATTAAAATAATTCATTAAATGCTTATCTCTACTTCTTTTGAAATCTATTTTTACCAAAATACCTTAAACTGCTTAACTTGAAAGTGAAGTAGGTAACCCCAACACAAAAAAAAAAAAAAAAAAAAAATCCCAAAAGGCAAAAAGGGCTAGTATATTTTTCACTAAATTTCTATCGCTTTTCCTTAGAAAAAATGAAAAAGAAAAAGAAAAAGAAGGAGTGATCTTGATGAATTGCAAAAGTTCAGGCCTACAATCTTTCTGCAATTGGGCTTTTCTCTGTTTCAAATTTCAATCATACGCAATACACAAACCCCCTAGTAGGCTGGCTAGTTCTCGTTCTAAAGCCGACCACACATGCGTCTTCTCGTCTGACTGTTTCTTTTTTTCTTTTTCTTTTTCGTAAAAACATTATTTTTTAGCCTTCATCAGAAGTAATTAAGTGGTTGTTTGAACCATTTTATTTTCATTTTTATTGAACAAATGTTTGGTAACAAATTTCATTTTCAATTTTCAAAAAAGTGAAAATCTAAGTTTTCACCAATTATCCTATCAAAAAAAAAAGTTTTTTTTTTTTTTTTTTTTTTTTTTTTTTTTTTTTGCTTTCATTCCTCCTTTTTTTTTTTTTCACTAATTTTAGATCACCGCGTATGAAATGCACCTCAGTTAACAAAACTCGGTCTTTTGGACCTCCCGACTTGGGTCCAGCCGCTCGATTTCTATGTTTAGCCGCGGACCAAGTCCAAGCCTCAGAACCCCCCAGATACAAAATACACAAACAAACAAAAAAAATCATTATAATTCCAAATAATTCATCGAAAAATATTACGAACTCTTTACAACATACACTTTCATTCTATGATCTCAAATTCACAATTTAACCCCCAAAAAATTCCACTTCCAAGTTCCACATAAAATTGAAAACTGAAAATTAAAATCAGTTACCAAACAACCAACGTTTGTTCTATTTTCACTTTTCACTTGTTTTGAAAACTAAAATTAGTTACCAAACAAGTTTTCAGTTTTTAGAAAATGAAAACGGAAAACTGAAATGGTTATCAGACCCTAAGTGATGACTAGTTATACATATTGTATGTGCACGTGCTAAACTCTATTACGTTAATTAATATTGTATACAATCAACTTTGACTATCCCGTAGATAAACCAAATATATGAAGTTGATTTGCTCCTTCAACATAAAAATGATGATGAAAAAGAAGGCAGAGGAACTTGGCTAAAACTTAATTTACTGACTTTGAATCTGTGGAGGTTTTAATAAGGAGAAATAAGACGTTTGATATCTAATGCGCTTGGGCCCAAAATTCAATTGGCCAATCAGTTCAAGAGACTGTTTTTATTTGATCTTCTCCACTTACACCTTCTGCAACATAAATAAGTGCTCGAACCTTCTGTGTTGGGGAAAAAATCCAAGACCACTTTTGTTATTGTGAGGCCAGTCTTGGTCCCCAGAGCAATGATCATACCTTGACTCTTAAGTCTTAAAGCTAGTGGTTGAGACTGAAACCAAATGTACATATGGTACTGGGACCATGGACGAGGTGGTGCCATATAGAGATATGGTCCACGTGGACAATTCACATTTAGGTTTAGTGGTAATGGGAATATAAGTCTTTGGTTTAATTACCAAGAGTTGATACGTACATTGGCTACATTCAGCCGATCATTGGACTTTTGCAATTGCACATTGTTTAGGCAAGTTTACTTATAGGTAATAGGTTTCCTGCGTTTATTTACACATAAGAAATTATTTATTAGGCGAGTTTCATCTTAAAAATCCTTAATTATATTTAAAAATAAGAAACTGAATCAATTAAAAGGAGGTCATTGATTCGATTTCCATTCGCATAAGAGCCGTGTTAAAGTCCCTTATCACATATGATGATCGTTATTGTCTGGTAATGAGAGAAGTACAAATGGGATTATTATTGGGACCCCTCTTACTTAATCCCCTGGGACTTTGGAATTTGGATAGTTTTAATCATGCAATTGGGCCATCATTTCTTAAACTCTATCAAGCTACTGCCATATTTATATATGCATTTCTCACCTCCCCCAACACCACCTGAAGCTTCATATTAGGTAATTGATGACTTGGGCGATGGCGATGGACAAAATTAATTAAAAGTAAATTCACCTATAGCCGTGTTTGTTTTTGTTGTGTGTACTACTTGCTGCTTGCTTGTTGCTACCATAAATATATACTTGTGTGTTGTCCAATCACATTATTTATGATCATTCTGCAGCTTCCTGTTTCTTTCTGGTTTTGCAGGTGTGCTGCTTAGTCCTTTTCTTCATATATCATGCGCCCCGTCTCCATTATTTTTCAAGATTTAAGCCCACCACAAGTTTAATAAAATCAATATCTTTTAGCTTCCAAGTTACTTTCAGCTTCATCAGCTTCATGTTCTCTTTCTAGAAAAAGGTCTAAGTGGTTGTCTGAGTTAGCATTACATGAATAATGGTACGTCTCTAACTTATGTGACCATAGTTTATTTGTTATGTTTAAGCTCAGTCTCGGTCTCATTTATTTTTAACAAGTAAGATAACGATACTGTTTTAAATTACGAAAGCGTTGCGTTAGGTGGCTAAAATTTTGAAATAAATTTATGGTCACTGATCACAATCTCAACAATTAATGTTGATCTTATCTAAACTTGACTGGCATATCTTTCTTTTATTTGAGTATGAGTTGTTTTACCTCACGCATGAAAGTGATACATGAAACAGACACACACACATGTCTGTATTAATTGATGATATTGACAGTGGCAGTGCCGGCCCAGATATGTGTTAAATCTATTTCTTCAATTCTTTCTATGCTTAATGAGTCTGATGTTTAGTCTTTAATATATTTTCAGTGGTTTCTTTCAGCTTTAAATAGTAAGTTTTCAGGAAGATTAGCTCAATGAAGAAACGTTTTCCTTAATCCCAAAATAAAAACGCTTTTATTAAGAAACGATTGTGAGGACATGACATTTTCTTTAGAGTTCAGTCATGCGGATGATGTTTCTATAGATATAATATTGAGCAAACAATTTTCCAAATGAAAGTTCAACATGAATGAATGACAACTTGGGTGTTTTACATTTAACAATACATGCCTTATGTTTATGGCATTGATCATCAATTTATCATGCGAGCAATGCTATGCATACCACATTGTGTATCACCTCTAATAGAGGTGGAGTCCACAAATACAATGGGATTCACTTATATTAGAGAGGTGATACACAATATATTATATGAATGTGGTATGACTAGCATTTTTGTTTTCAAAATATGAAAAATTCATTTGTCGGAAACAATTATATTTTGTAATGAATTAATTAAATTTGTATCCGTTATTAGGAGAATTTGTTACAAATGCGATATTCAAACTATTCTAATCACATGGAGGGGGTTTGAACTCAAGTATAAAGGGGCAGACACTCTACCTTAACCAACTGGCTTAACTCACATTTCCATTATTACGAGAGTTTTATTTTGGGTATTCTTAGTTCAATAGAAATATGCATTATTGTCCATGATTGTTCATTTGTTAAAACAAATCCACCTTAAGGTGCTGCAGATGTATACCATGAACGTCACCAACACATTATTTTATGATATTTTTTCTTGTGGTGTGTGCCTCAGTTTATGAACACATGTTATCCTGAGCCTGACAAAACAAAAACAAAAATCAACATATTATTCCCAAACAAAAGAAAAGAACATGTAGGTCTTGAGTTTAATAATCAAAGCATGTTCATCGGATAATATAGCAATCTTACTTTTTTCTAGTTTAACTAAGCAAATTTATACTCAACTTGATAAAGCTGCTTTTTTTAATAGTGTTTGTAATGAACTTTTTCAAGTGTCATGCATGATAGGGGTCTTTGTTGGTATATACTCCTCTGTATAAAGGAGAAACAAAGCCTATCTTTTGGACCAGCCCAACAGCCAAATAACCAATTAATCTCTCATACGCCAAAACTTCTCTTTAATTTCATACAACAAACAAACAAAAATTCCAATTATATTATTTATATATATGAATATGTATGGAGGTTCATTCTAATGCTCCCCAGGCTTGTTTTTATATCATTTTAGAATTTCAGCATCTTCCATATACTTCTTTTTTAAAAAAAAATTATAAATACCACGAGGTGTCCCCACATCTGAAGGGTGGGATTAATCTCCGCTTGGAATTCTGCTTGTCCCTGGCCACAAGTGCTTCCAACGGGTTTCGAACTCCTATAATTAAGGTACTAAGTAGCTCGCCAACTGAAAGTGGCAGTTTGTCACCGCATCTTCCACATATTTAAATAAAAGGAAAATTAGAAAAACTCACAAACCCCACTCCCTCCTCTCTCTTTTCTCTCTCCCTCGCCCCTTTTGGTTGTTGTCAGGCCCACCCATCTTTTCTCCCCATCACCCTTTACTCTTCTACCTTGCTAATACCTTGGTCTTGTTTCAGTACAAATTTTTAGGGAAACTGATTGACTCGTATCGGGTATAAATCTACAATACATGGTACATACATCTCGTCTGTATTTTTTTAATATTATGAAATATCAAAAAATTTCGACGAAAATATCAGAATTGTAACAAGAGAGTTGTAGTTGCACCAGTACCAAACACTCCTTTCTCCGTAACTTAGCTGGTGGTGGTGTTGTTTTTTCACCAGGAGTGCAAATAAATATCCACCCAACTTCCAAGAGAGACTAACCATAAGATCCCAGACCGCTTCGTACAGATGAGAACAAACCCACGTGAGCGAACGCCTACAGTACTTTTCATTAAATTTGTATGGAAGATGCCTCTAGGCGCACGGGTTCTTCATGTTCTTATTTTATCTCACTTTCCACACTGTTCAATAATTTATGTTTGCAAGTGGAAACATATACCAACAGAGAAAGCCACTGACCTAAAAATTAATCACTGTACCAACTGATAAAAAGTTAAACAGAAAAAAAAACAAAAAACTCGTACAATCACATATATAATAATACAAATATATATACGACCCTGCAACATGCTCTCATGATCTCTCCTCTTCCACCTCCTTTTTTATCTTCATCAATCTCCAATGGAGCTTGAACAAGTTCTGCAATTCCTTTGCTTTCTTGTATTATTTTTTATCAGCTTTTTCATGCTGAGATCAAAGCTTTGGTACTGCAATTGTGAGATTTGCCACGCCTATGTCACCTCATGCTGGTCTCTGAAATTCGACAACCTTTGTGATTGGTATGCGCATCTTCTTAGAGACTCTCCGACCAAAACCATCCACATACATGTTCTGAGAAACACCATCACTGCCAACCCTGAAAACGTCGAATACATGCTCAAGACCCGGTTCGAAAACTACCCTAAAGGCAAGCCCTTCTCTGCCATCCTCGGTGACTTTCTTGGCCAGGGCATATTCAACGTGGATGGCCACTCGTGGAGGTTTCAGAGGAAGATGGCCAGCCTCGAGCTCGGCAGGCACTCTGTTCGATCTTTCGCGTTCGAGATTGTCAGCCATGAGATCGAACACCGTCTCATCCCTCTTCTGTCATCGTTTAGTTCTTCAGATGATGGTGGTGGAAGCGTCCTCGATTTGCAAGACGTGTTTAAGAGATTCTCGTTCGACAGCATATGCAAATTCTCTTTCGGGTTGGATCCTATGTGCCTAGAGTTGTCGCTGCCGTTGTCCAAATTCGCCGTTGCCTTCGACATGGCCTCGCAGCTGTCCGCAAAGAGAGCCATGACGGCGTCTCCCTTGATTTGGAAGATCAAGAGAATATTTAATTTGGGGAGCGAGAAGCAATTAAAAGAATCTATTAACATGATCGACCTCTTGGCCAAAGAGGTCATTGCTAGAAAGCGCGAAACGGGGTTTTCAACACAAAAAGATCTCTTGTCACGTTTCATGAGAAGTGTGGAAGACGAAACGTATCTGAGGGACATTGTAATAAGCTTTCTATTGGCAGGGCGTGACACTGTTGCGTCTGCTTTGACAAGTTTCTTTTGGCTCATGGGCACCCACCCGACCGTTGCATCAGCGGTTCGGGTTGAGGCTGATAGGGTTCTTGGACCCAACCAGGGCCTCAAGAACTTTGAGCAAATGCACGAGCTTCATTATTTACAAGCAGCAATTTATGAGAGCATGAGGCTCTTCCCTCCTATACAGTTCGACTCAAAGTTTTGCGCACAAGATGATGTTTTGCCTGATGGCACGTTTGTGAGGAAAGGGACTAGGGTTACTTACCATCCATACGCAATGGGTCGGATCCAGGATATTTGGGGATCCGACTGCATGGAATTCAAGCCCGAGAGATGGTTGAAGGACAGTGTTTTCGTTACAGAAGACCCGTTTAAGTACCCGGTTTTCCAACCGGGGCTTAGGGTTTGTTTGGGGAAAGAGATGGCTCTAATGGAGATGAAAACCGTGGCGCTTTCATTGCTCAGACGATTCAGTATTCATCCCGTGACACACGAATTAGGCCGTGTACCACGGTTCTCTCCAGGGCTCACCGCGACCTTCAGCGATGGCCTTCCGGTGTTGGTAAGAGAAATGAAAACACAGCCATCGTGCTCATGAGTCACATCTGCTCAGCTATATAAAGTATGCAAATTTTTGGTGCATATGTGTAAGTATGGTCTACCAAGGGGATAGTGTGACACACAGGAAAACGACATGGCCTAAGCTACCCCCCGCTGAAATTAAACGTGCACCATATATAACAAGATTGTCCGGTTGGCGTCGGTACGAAAATTATAAATTTTTGTATACACAAAATGATGGCACATGTGTGTGGTGTCCTTTTCTCGACCTACTGTGCAAGGGGATATATTCTTATTGGTGGAGAATTAGCTCGTGCTGATCATCTGTTAGATCTATTTGTTTAATTACACAAAAAGCTCTAGAATTTGTGTACTTTTTTTTGGATGTAAGGATGTGTGGAACAAAGAAGTACAATTATGTATCTAAGATTCACTTATTATTTTGGTATTGACTAAATTATTAGTGGCGTGCTACTTAATTTTTGCTTGATGCCCATAGATTAATCTTCAAGCACGTGAGGTTTCTTGATTTATAATAAGCAACCTTTACTAACCAAATGAAAGGGATTAAAAAAAAACCCAAAAAAAGGTTGGTACCACATTCTTTACAAAACCCCAAACAAGGGATAACCAAAAAATAAAATAAAAACTATTTGTGCCACACTAGTTTCACATTATAGCAAGATTCATGGAAAATTTATTGGTGTGACTAAACTCATATGTTGATGAGAGACTAATGTATATCGTTTCACGATGTATATACATATATTAAACATGACCATCATCAACATAATCAGTAAGTGTGGTACATTGTAATTCTATTTTTTATTGAGGTATCACACATAAGGTGGCACACTAATGTTTCTAATTAAGATTCTACCTTTTAAGAGTATATTAGCGTACCACCTTGTGTAGACGATGTGTTCATTGAAAAACTGTAATAAATATTGATGTGATAAAAGTTCATCATACTAACACAAAAGATAGTTCACTAACTTTTTATGAAATTGTGATTCTTCTAACATTCAGTTAATTACAAGACTTATCATTTGTACGATGATGAGTCAGAAAGAGAAAAAGAAAAAGAGAAAATTCGTAAAGATGGAAAAGCCATATTCATTTATAAAAAATAAAAATAAAACAAGGCGCTACCAATCCAGTTGCCCACTGGATAGTCATAGTAGACCATAGCCAAGTTTATTGTGTGGATGGAGGAGGAGCCTACTTAGCCTACTCCTCTTCTTATTATGATCATGATGCGGCGTCGTCCTCCTCCTCCTCCTCTTGATTGATGAAAGCCATTCGTTAAAAATAGAAAACGAAACAAAACAAAACAAACAAACAAGTAGTTTAAAGTTAAAAAGGTACGAACTTCTTGTCATCACAAGGTCTTCACGTGTGTGCGCCATGGCTCCCACGACAGCATGTCTTAGATTTCTACCACGAGGGCTTTAGTTTTCTGTCTTCTCAAGCAACAGCACGCTATAGGATCCAACCAGCCAGCAATATTTGTATCTTTAATTACCCTCTCCTTTAGTACGTAATCAATTTTGATAGACTATTATTGGGCTTTGGTTCATTTTTACTGCCTTAGCGGAAGAAGGTAAACTACTTGGTTAGCTCGACGACCAAATCGTGTAGAATATTCGCCTAATCATCTTGGTCAATAGCTATTTTCTCTTGTCTTTGTGCTCTCATTACATCAATATTGTACTATCGCTTTGCTTTAAAGAAAAACTTAAAAAATTCTGCCAAAATAGCAAAAATGCAGCGTCGGTTGTCATCGAAATATGAAATACCTAGCTTGTACCCATTTAGTCATCATTTAGTTTATCAAATTTGCTCATGTGGAGGACAATTCTTTCATTTTGACAATTTAGGATATTTTATATAATTGTCAGTGCGATTTGATATATTGGATACAGAAGTTTTGCTTGTGGTTCGATCTTAGATTGGTTAATATATAACTGAAAGGATCTAACATGAATTTTTTATTTATTTTTTAGCAGATCTAACATGAAATTAGTGACCAGATTTTATAGCTCTGGGATATGACCCCATTGTTTTATGTTGCCTCTTCGGCCGGCAATAAAGAAGTTGTTTTGTCATGACAAAGCTCCACTTGTGATCACGAAATAATCACGTGTTTAAAGTTCTTAATAATTAGAAAATTAATATATATATCTATCCCTTTGTTTTTGGTGGGATCTCTCAAATCATCTTTATAAAGGAACAGAACATAGGCTTTTGAATCAACTTGAATTTTTATTTTTATTTTTTTTAGGATCTTTTTTATTAAGAGGGGCAATAGTATATTAAACTCACGCATATTATACGGATACTAGGACTCGAACCCATAATCTTTCTTTGGAGTAGTAATTACTCCAAACCACTGCACAAGTGGATCATTTGCTTAAATTGAGGATTTTTAGATACATACGTATGATAGCAGATATTTAAGGCTCTGTCTAGTTAACAAAAAACAAAATATGGGCAAATCAATCTCCATGTATTTTCTCATGAAAAGATAAATTAAAAATTTATGTCCCATGTTTCATAATGTTGAGAAACTATTTATGAAATATCATTTTATTTCATTTCTCATGTTTGGTGCATGCACAAATTGGAAACAAACTTTGTTTAATTTTACAATTATTCCCCTAAATAGAAATATGCAATAAAAATTTAGTGCCCATTTGATAACTATTTCAATTTTAGTTTTTAGTTTTCACTTTTTATGTTAGAGTATAGAGGAGTGACTCTGAGGATGAGATTGAGAGAGATGATAAGAGGGGAGGATGGGAGAGAAAAGTAACAGAAGTGAAAACAATTTCAAATAGATTTCAGTTTTTATTTTTTATTTTCACTTTTGTTACTCCTTCCTCCCATCCCCTCTCTCATTTTCCTTCTCAATCTCATCTTCAACCTCATTCTCACTTTCATCCCCTTTTTTTCCCTCTATATTCTAGCACAAAAAATGAAAACTAAAAACTAAAATTGAAATGGTTGTCTTGATATTTTTAGGGTCCGTTTGATAATCATTTCAATTTTTAATTTTTTGTTTTCAATTCCTAGTTTTCTTTTTTCTTTTTTTAAAATTAAAAATTTAAAACTTGTTTGGTAACTCATTTCAAATTTTTTTTTTTAAGTGAAAAGTGAAAACTAAACAAAAGTTGTTTGGTAACTGATTTCAGTTTTCAATTTTCAATGTGGAACTTGAAAATGAAATTTTTTGGGGTCAAATTGTGAATTTCAGATCGTAGAATGAAAATGTATGTTACAAAGAGTTGTAGTATTTTTTAGAATTAGGATATTTTTTTGTGAATTTTGGATTGGAGGTTTCGAGGCTTGGATTGGGTCTGTTGCTGAATGCAAGAATCCAGTGGCTGGTCCAAGTCGGTGACATGGGCCTTCCTCATTGACCTAAAACTAATAGAAGCCAAACTAACTATTTAGCCGGCCCGAAAATAAGGGCCCTTTATATTTTATGAATTTCAAGAGGTATTGATTGATGTTACACGGAAATTTTTTTTTCTTTTTTTTTGGGGTCTGAAAGATAGAATTTCATAACAAGCAGGCAAATATTATTTTTACGGCTAAATTAGACGACGCAAAAGAAGGCAGAGGTGATTGGAGCAACGAGAGTCCAATCCAACGGGGATGGTGGCAACAGGTGGTGATGGAATCACATTCGAAATTGATGATTGATGCCCAACCCTCAGAACTTGCCGACAACACTAGAAAACCACCATAGAGTTTATGACTATTCCTTCTAGCCATCGGGATTGTTCACTGCCGTCGGTTTGGGTGAGGTAGGTAGCGGCTGTTTGGGGTTGGGTGCTGTGGAGACGACGGTGATTTCTGAGAAGCAACCCACAACAACCGCTTTGCCAGTTTTTTAGGTGATTTTATTGGATTTTTTTCACAATTTATTTTGTACCATTGGATCAAATAATTGAAATCTAGCCTTCCAAAAGTTGATGTATCCATACATTTGATGTTTCTTAGAATTTTCGGAGAGGAGGAGAGAGGTATGAGTAAGGCAGTGGAAGAGGGAGTGGAACCTCCACTCGCTGCACTTTTGGATGGAAAAAGCGGGAAAAAAACGAAGACGAAGAGAAAAAGCAAAGCAACAACATCAAAGGATCACAACACAGAGCTAGAGCCAGTTCAAGCTGCGCCAGAGCCAGTTCAAATTGAGCCAGAGCCAATTCAGATTGAGCCAGAGCCAGTTCAGATGGAGCCAGAGCCAGTTCAAATTGAGCCAGAGCAAATTCAAATTGAGCCTGAGCCAGTTCGGATTGAGCCAGAGCCAGTTCAGAATGACGAAGAGAGCTCAAGGGATGGCCCTAGGGTTAGTGTTTCGATGTTCGATGACTCGGTGGAGAATCACTTCAGAGTAATGGACACCATTGCCAAGCTCTGTGGTAAGGCTGAGGAGGATCATCGAATCGAAGACAGTGAGATTCAAAGCTTATCGTCCTCTATCACTTTCTTAAGGTAAACAAAATAAATGTGTCTTTTTTCGTTGTTTAATTTCTTACTGGCATTGTTGGTTTTACGTATCTCATTGTAATTGTGAACTTCAGAAACTTATGAATGCGTTTGTTGAAGGGAATGGGCAGATTTTAAATATGAACCTAGAGATGTTCGATTTGCTTGTAGAGGTGGAAGCCCTGATGGGAAAGATGTGTTCACTGGGATAACCTTGCGTCAGTTTTCTTCTGCGACAGTTCCCAAGGTTATATCTATTAATCTGAAGTTCTGGTTCGGTTTACATGTCGTAGTTTTACAGAAACAGACAATGAACTGTTCTAATGGCTGTCATATAACAAGCATCATTGGTATTTGATCTTAATTAGTTGGTTTTCGTATTGATGCAGAAGGAGGCACTTTCTGGGGACACATCATCTTTAGAGTTGAGGTACTTTAATTGGCATTAGCAATAAGAATTTTGTACTGATTTATGTATTCTCTTGAACTCGATGAAAGCCTTGTATATTGGATTTCCACCTACCACCCAAAGAAGCTTTGATA